ACCCGATATTTCACAAAGCTAAGAGGCAGAGGCATTCTTTTTTCATCCTGTACTCATTCCAGCCTCCCTTCCTCTCTTGCTCCCTCTCCCTCTCTCTCTTCATGAAGCCAAACATGCCAGGAATAAAAACCACACCAAATCTACTAACCCAAAGTTCCTCAAAGTGGACAAGAGCACGAGGCACGGAGGCTGTTTCCTTGAAACTCTAAAGCAGTGTTTCTCAACTTTCCTAATGCCACGACCCCTTAATACAGTTCCTCATGTTGTAGTGACCCCAGCCATAACATTATTTTCATTGCTCTCTCTCTCTTCATGAAGCCAAACATACCAGGAATAAAAACCACACCAAATCAACTAACCCAAAATTCCTTAAAGTTGACAAGAGCAAAACAGGCAAGAGCACAAGGCACGGAGGCTGCTCCCTTGTGTTCCTAAAGCATTGGCACAAATACCCGATTTTTCACAAAGCGAAGAGGCAGAGGCATTCTTTTTTCATCCTGTACTCATTCCAGCCTCCCTTCCTCTCTTGCTCCCTCTCCCTCTCTCTCTTCATGAAGCCAAACATGCCAGGAATAAAAACCACACCAAATCTACTAACCCAAAGTTCCTCAAAGTGGACAAGAGCAAAACAGACAAGAGCACGAGGCACAAAGGCCACTCTCTTGTGTTCCTAAAGCAGTGTTTCTCAACCTTCCTAATGCCCAGACCCCTTAATACAGTCCCTCATGTTGTGGTGACTCCAGCCATAACATTATTTTCTGTTGCTATTTCATAACTGCAACTTTGTTAATATCTAATATTCAGTATGTATTTTCATTTACTAAATGAACATTGGCACAAATACCCGATATTGTGGCAAGGAAGCACAAAGCGAAGAGGCAGAGGCATTCTTTTTTCATCCTGTACTCATTCCAGCCTCCCTTCCTCTCTATCTCCCTCTCCCTCTCTCTCTTCATGAAGCCAAACATAACAGGAATAAAAACCACACCAAATCTACTAACCCAAAGTTCCTCAAAGTGGACAAGAGCAAAACGGACAGGAGCACGAGGCACAAAGGCTGCTCCCTTGAAGCCCTAAAGCTGTGTTTCTCAGCCTTCCTAATTCCACAACCCTTTAATACAGTTCCTCATGTTGTGGTGACCCCAGCCATTACATTATGTTGTAGTGACCCCAGCCATTATATTATGTTGTGGTGACCCCAGCCATAACGTTATTTTCCTTGCTATTTCATAACTATAACTTTGTTAATTTCTAATATGCAGGATGTATTTTCATTCACTAAACGAACATTGGCACAAATACCCGATATTGTGGCAAGGAAACACAAAGCAAAGAGGCAGGGGCATTCATTGTTCATCCTGTACTCATTCCAGCCTCCCTTCCTCTCTTGCTCTCTCTCCCCCTCTCTCTTCATGAAGCCAAACATACCAGGAATAAAAACCACACCAAATCTAATGCCCCAAAGTTACTCAAAGTGGACAAGAGCAAAACGGACAAGAGCACGAGGCACAGAGGCTGCTCCCACAGTGTTTCTCAACCTTCCTAATGCCTTGACCCCTTAATACAGTTCCTCATATTGTGGTGACCCCAGCCATAACATTATTTTTGTTGCTATTTCATAACTGCAACTTTGTTAATATCTAATATGCAGAATGTAGTACTGCAGTACGTGTGTATATGCAGTACGTGTGAAAAAGATCTTGGAGTCCTCGTGGACAACAAGTTAAACATGAGCCAACAATGTGATGTGGCGGCAAAAAAAGCCAATGGGATTTTGGCCTGCATCAATAGGAGCATAGTGTCTAGATCTAAGGAAGTAATGCTACCCTCTATTCTGCTCTGGTTAGACCACATCTGGAATATTGTGTCCAATTCTGGGCACCACAATTCAAGAGAGATATTGACAAGCTGGAATGTGTCCAGAGGAGGGCGACTAAAATGATCAAGGGTCTGGAGAACAAGCCCTATGAGGAGCGGCTTAAGGAGCTGGGCATGTTTAGCCTGAAGAAGAGAAGGCTGAGAGGAGATATGATAGCCATGTATAAATATGTGAGAGGAAGCCAGAGGGAGGAGGGAGCAAGCTTGTTTTCTGCTTCCTTGGAGACTAGGACGCGGAACAATGGCTTCAAACTACAAGAGAGGAGATTCCATCTGAACATTAGGAAGAACTTCCTGACTGTGAGAGCCGTTCAGCAGTGGAACTCTCTGCCCCGGAGTGTGGTGGAGGCTCCTTCTTTGGAAGCTTTTAAGCAGAGGCTGGATGGCCATTTGTCAGGGGTGATTTGAATGCAATATTCCTGCTTCTTGGCAGAATGGGGTTGGACTGGATGGCCCATGAGGTCTCTTCCAACTCTTTGATTCTATGATTCTATGAATGTATTTTCGTTCACTAAACGAACAATGGTGCAAATACCCAATATTGTGGCAAGGAAGCACAAAGCGAAGAGGCAGAGGCATTCGTGAATCGTCACGTAAATATCTGATCTGCAGGATGTATTTTCATTCACTGGACCAAATTTGGCACAAGAAATATGGCTCTTTGGCCTGTTGGGTTGTTGTTGTTCAGTTGTGGCAGGAATTGTGATACCCAGCATTCCTTGCCACTTTTTATACTGGCTAGGACTGCTGGGAATTGTAGTCCGACTTTCAAAGGATGTAAATCCAAATGGGAAGCAGATCACATTCGCCTCCAAATGTTTAATTTTCCGGTGTCGTCTTCTCTGAGCTTTTCACAAGTGTTTGGGGTCAAGGCAAACAAGGCCTGTGTACTTAGGCAGTCTTGCGGCTTCTCGCTCATTGTGTTGTCGATCCACTTTATTGTCTCTTGGTGTGTTCTGAGTGTGGATTGAATGCTCTCTTTGTTTGCCAGAATACACAGAAAGGAAAGGACAGACAGGCTGAACTTCCTGGAGTTTTGTATTGTAAATCCCATTAACCCCTGACTTAGTGACTGGTATTGGAGACAGTGGGAGTTGTAGTCTTCAAAGTCTGTACTGTCTAGTCTGGGAGAAGTGTCGTGGAGACAGAAATTGGATAGTGCTGTGTTTCCACTTTGAAGAACCCTGGGACTTGTAGTTTAAGGAGGAGGTATTCAGCCTAGTACTACAAATCCCAAGGTTTCACAGGAGACATTTGTCAAGTCTGGATAGCTTTTACTGATTTGCTTAATGTGATTTTGATTAACTCGTTCTCATCATTGCAGGTTGTATTCTATTTTGAATGTGTACGTTTTGTCGGGTTTCGAATCTCAACCCTTCGAAATACAAACATGGAAACAGAATTTAGAATGCATTGTTTTTAAGGTTGCAGGCTGGTTTGGGTCTCTTATCAAAGGAAAATAATAATAATAATAATAATAATAATAATAATAATAATAATAATAAATCACACACTACTAGATGCTTGGGAAGTGTTTGACTTGTGATTTTGTGATACGAAATCCAGTATATAGATCTCTTTTGCTGTGACATACTGTGTTTTTGTGCCAGTAAAATAATAATAATAATAATAATAATAACAACAACAACAAATAATCACACAGTCCTAGACGCTTGGGAAGTGTTTGACTTGTGATTTTGTGATACGAAATCCAGCATATAGATCTTATTTGCTGTGACATACTGTGTTTTTGTGTCAGTAAAATAATAATAATAATAATAATAATAATAATCCAGTAGAGGTGGTCCCAGTGGTCATCGACACACTGGGTGCCATGCCAAAAGATCTCAGCCAGCATTTGGAAACAGTAAACATAGACAAAATCATGATCTGTCAACTACCAAAGGCCACATTACTTGGATCTACGCGCATCATTCGAAAATATATCACACAGTCCTAGACTTGGGAAATGTTTTGTGATACGAAATCCAGCATATATATCTCGTTTGCTGTGACATACTGTGTTTTTGCATCAGTAAAATAATAATAATAATAATAAATAAAGTGAAGACTGGCACAAGCCAGTCAAGGTAGTTCCAGTGATGATCGGCACACTGGGTGGTTCCAGTGATGATCGGCACACACCTAAAGATCTTGGCCTGCACTTAAAAACAATCAACGTTGACAAAATTACCATCTGTCACCTGCAAAAGGCCACCCTACAGGCATTATTCGCAGATACATCACACAGTCCTAGACACTTTGGAAGTGTCCAATACAAAATCCAGCATAGGGATCTTGTATGCTGTATACTAACCTTGTTTGCTGTGTACTAATCTTGTTGTGCATCTAATAATAATAATAGTCATCATCATCATCATCACACAGTCCTAGACGTTTGGGAAGTGTTCGACTTGTGATTTTGTGATACGAAATCCAGCATATAGATCTCGTTTGCTGTGACATGCTGTGTTTTTGTGTCAATAATAATAATAATAATAATATCACAAAAGGGCCTTGGATTGACCACCTCTCCTTTTGCTAAACAGTCTTTAGTCTCGCTGTGTTACACACGCTTTCTCTTTTTTGGAGCTAAACTAGGCCAAGGTCTTTCCGTAAAACTAACCAGGACTTAATCTGTACTTTTGATAAAAGTGTTGATGTAGCCATACTTGGAATAGGCACACTTCTGGGTTGCTGATGATGGAGAAACTTATTCCCAACTCTTGGGAAAAATAGACTTTAAAAAATCAGAAAAATTGAGCGTGACTCTTGCGAAGAAACCTTAATTTGTGGGGATTACCGGGGGAGAAAGATGAGCAAGAGGGGAAAAGGATAAATACAAGTTGAACCTATTTGTGGCATGACGGAAATCGGCAGGAAGATGTTTTCCTTTCTCCCAATGGGAGAAGTATAGTGTCTAGTATTTCCGAGGCAGTACTTTCCAATCAAAGCAGTGTAAGTCAGACCCACAATTGCAGAGGCCCAGCTCTACACTACTTCAGATTTAAGGTAGAGCCGGCTGTGCCCCTTTGCACCACTGACACAACTGTTCTGCTGCCAGTATCCCTTCCATTGTGGCCTTGGTTTTGAATTTCTCTTCTCTTCCGTCCCCCATTCAGGATCCTTGGAGGCCCCGAACCCGTAGGACATGGACCACCATATGAATGGCACCATGGCGGAGGAGCACAGCCCCATGGACTATGGGGTCCAGATCCGTTTCATCAATGATCTCAAAGAGCCCAGCAAGTCCCAGAAGCTCCGTCCCAAGGCCTCCAAGCCGGGCTCTTATGGGGTGGCGGTGCGGGTCCAAGGCATCGACGGCCAGCCCTTCGTGGTCCTCAACAGTGGCGAGAAAGGGGGGGACTCCTTTGGGGTGCAGATCAAAGGTGAGAGCAAATACGGGATGCCCTCCCGGAGCCCGCAGGTCGAGGAGGCCTTCCCAGGATCCCCTGGGGCTGCTTCATCATCTAAGGATGCATCGGGGTCTATCAGCTCCGACTCCGACCTGCCGGAGAACCCGTACGGCATGAAGCCCACCCGTTATGGCTCTCACTACAGCACATCAGACGAGGAGCAGGTCCCGAAGCGGGGGGTTCCGAAATCGGACAGCCTGGACGGGGCCCGGTTGTCCCGCAATAGCATCGCTTCACCCCCTCAGGGAGGCTACCGGACTCTGCCCCATAAGAAGTCCTCCGGGGAGCAGCTGCGGCGGACGCAATCCCACGGCTCCCTCCTCAGCTCCGAATCCCAGGATCTGGCCCCTCCTCGGACTCTGCCTGCTCCCGCTCCCCAGACAACGGGAGGAGCGGCGCGGAGCAACAGCCTCATGAACCTCGCTGGACGCAGACTGTCCAGCCCCAGGGAAGACGGCGGCGTTGTCACCGGGTTGCGACCCGTCCAGAAGTCCCCCCAATTTGGTTCGGACGGGAATCCGGCTGCCGACACGGGAGGCGACGTTGAAGGCAGTGATATCGACACTAAGCCCCTCTCCTCGGTTGACTCGCTCATCCACAAGTTCGATGGGAAGGCCCAGAACCGAGGCCGGGCCTCCCGGAGAAGCCGCATGTCTCTGGACGACCGGAAGCGCTCGCAGAGCCTGGACGGGAGAGTTGCTCTCCATGACACAGCCGATTCCCGGGAGTTGAGTATGAAGGACAGCCAGGGGGGATTCAGAGAGGGAGTGCGGCTTTCTGTGTTGAAGCAGCTCGGATCGGGCAACGCTTCAGGGACCAGGAGCCTCGGCCGACCCGTCGGGTCGCAGCAGAAGCAGAATGGGTTGGACAAGTCCAAGCTGACTCGGGAGTGGGTCAACAAGACCGTGGAGGAGCCCGGGAAAGTGCCATCAGACCTGCAGGTAATTTTCTCTATTGCCGTCGTTTTTGTGTCTTGTTTTTCCTCCAACCCAGAGTTTTTTCCGCACTACACAATTGTCGCACTGCTGTTGCCACATCCTGACAAAATCCCGGGATTTGTCATTTAGGGAAGTGTTAAATATCTCACTCTACACCCCAAATCATAAGGCTGCAGTGGCGCAATTGATTGAATCTCTGAGCTCAGCCCCTCAGGGGTGAATTCCAATGGATATACCATATGAGTGAAGAGAGGGGACCAGGAAGACAATTTCACCTTGTCTCCTGCATTGTGCTAATAATATAATATGATATGATATGATATAATATAATATAATATAATATAATATAATATAATAATGCATATACTTTTAATATTGATATTATAATGTAATATAGTACTAATAATATTCCAATGGATATGCCATATGAGTGAAGAGAGGGGGCCAGGAAGACAGTTCCACCTTGTCTCCTGCACTGTGCTTATAACACAATACAATATAATATAATACATTGTATATACATTAATGTTGATATTATAATGTAATATAATGCTAGTAATATTCCAACGGATATGCCATATAAGTGAAGAGAGGGGGGCAGGAAGACAGTTCCACCTTGTCTCCTGCACTGTGCTTATAACACAATACAATATAATATAATACATTGTATATACATTTAATATTGATTTTATAATGTAATATAATACTAGTAATATTCCAATGGATATGCCATATGAGTGAAGAGAGGGGACCAGGAAGACAGTTCCACCTTGTCTCCTGTGCTGTGCTAATAATATAATATAATATAATATAATATAATATAATACATTGTATATACATTTAATATTGATATTATAATGTAGTATAATGCTAGTAATATTCCAACGGATATGCCATATAAGTGAAGAGAGGGGGGCAGGAAGACAGTTCCACCTTGTCTCCTGCACTGTGCTTATAACACAATACAATATAATATAATACATTGTATACATTTAATATTGATTTTATAATGTAATATAATACTAGTAATATTCCAATGGATATGCCATATGAGTGGAGAGAGGGGGCCAGGAAGACAGTTCCACTTTGTCTCCTGCACTGTGCTAATAATATAATATAATATAATATAATATAATATAATATAATACATTGTATATACATTTAATATTGATATTATAATGTAATATAATGCTAGTAATAATAATACGATATTATAATTATATGTTTTATATTACATGTAATATTGCTAATAATGTATATACATTTAATATTGATATTATAATGTAATATAATACTACTAATAATAATATGATAGTATAATTATATATTTTATACTGCATGTAATATTACTAATAATATTACAGTATAATGGTATAATAATATTTAATACTGATATTGTACTATGCTAATAATATAGTATCTTGTATGTATATATACCTTGTAAGCCACTCTGAGTCCCCTTTGGTATGAGAAGGGCGGCATATAAATGTCGTAAATAAATAATAAATAATGGTATAGTACAATATAGTAATATATAATACTAATATTGTGCTATGGTAATAATATAATATATTGTATTTACATATTGTAAGCCGCTCTGCATCCCCTTTGGGGTGGGAAGGGCGGCATATAAATGTCATAAATAAATAGAATAAATAATAAATTTCTATTTAAGAGATTGCAATTCCCAATTCGATTGCCATTTGCAATCACCATCAACAAAGCTCAGGGCCGATTTATTTTTCTCCTGCTCTTTTTATTTATTTATTTATTTGCTGTATTTTGAACAACATGTAAACTTTTCTCCCCTCGGAGATTAGATTTTTTTTTTTTCTGTTCCGTGAGATGCGGACAAAATGCAAAACAGTTGCAAAAATGAGGTCTCGGAGTGCCAGAACAGAACAACATGGCCTTCGGGAAAGTGAAATGCATGAGTTTGCATGAGTCTTCTTTTTCGTGCCTTTGTTGTTAAAGGGCAGAATCTGTCTGCAAAAAATTGGAAAAGATTGAAACCCTACGGGTGAATTCCACATCCTCTATTGCATCCTCACATTTGTGGTATGGTTTCATAGGAAGCCTCCCCATAAAATGATGGAGAGCCTCTTTCAATGGTCTATCTATCCCAAAATCACTGGATCCTGTCTGATCTTGGATGCTCCCTGGAAGGGAGACCATCAATGAATCCCAGGCTCTATTTCAAAGGAGGAGCTGGCCAAACCACCTCTGAGGTTTCCTTGCCTTCTTACAGCTGAAGTCCACCCCAGACCTTCTGAAGGACCAGCAAGAAGTATCTCAGCCCGGAAGCAGCGAGTATGTGAAAGAGCTGATCTACAACATCCTGAAGGAAGGGTGAGTGTCACGTCAAGTCACAGAGGAAAGGAGAGACACTAGTGTTCCTTCATTCATGTTTAACTTGTGATCGTTAACATTAGCCCATTTGTGGCTGGAATGTTGCATGTTGCATCACCACACGTGCTCACTTAAGATATGGTGTGGATTTCCCCTTCCTTCCTTCCTTCCATCCATCCATCCATCCATCCATCCATCTATCCATCCAGTTTTCCTCCCTCCCTCCCTCCCTTCCTCCTTTCCACCCACTCACCCAATTTTCCTTCCACCCATCCAGTGTCCATCCAACCTTCCTTCCTTCCCTCCTTCTTTTTTTCTATCCATCCAGTCTTTTTTCCTTCCTTCTTTCTTTCTTTCTTTCTTTCTTTCTTTCTTTCTTTCTTTCTATCCACCCACCCAATTTACCTTCCATCCATCAAGTTTTCCTTCCTTCCATCCGTCTGTCCGTCTTTCCATCCATGCATGCATCCATCCATCCATCCATTGGTCCATCCAATTTTCCATCCATCCATCCAATCTTCCTTCTTTCTTTCTATCCATCCATCCAATTTTCCTTCCACCCACCCACCCATCCATCCAATCTTCCTTCCTTCCTTCTTTCCATCCATCCATCCAATTTTCTGTCCTTCCATCCAGTCTTCCTTCCTACCTTCCTTCCTTTCATCCATCCATTAGTCCATCCATCCATCGGTCCAATTTTCCTTCCATCCATCCGTCCATCAATTTGTCCATCTTTCTATCCATCCATCCATCCATCCAATCTTCCTTCCATCCACCCACCCAGTCTTCCATCTATCTGTCTGTCTGTCTGTCTGTCCGTCCGTCCATCCAATTTTCCTTCCACCCACCCATCCAGTCTTCCTTCCTTCCCTCCGTCCGTCCGTCTTTCTTTCCATCCATCCATGCATGCATGCATGCATCCATCCGTCCATCCATCCAATTTTCCTTCCATCCATCTGTCCATCAATTCGTCCATCTTTCTATCCATCCATCCAATTTTCCTTCCACCCACCCACCCATCCAGTCGTCCTTCTATCTGTCTATTTATCTATCCATCCATCCAATTTTCCTTCCACCCACCCATCCATTCTTCCTTCCTTCCATCCATCCACTCATCTAGCCTTCCTTCCTTCCATCCCGTCTTCCACCCCATCCCTCCTCGCACCCTCAGACACACCCATTTAAATATAGTTCTCTTGCTATCTGATTGCAGTCAGTCAGGTTAGAGGTGCTAAATATAGGAGACGGACTTGCATTCTTCTTTGACAAGCATTGAAAAGCCCTCCTGCTAGATCAAGAGACTAACAAACAAACACTCTGCTCTCTTTTGCAAAGTATCTCCGTTCTCAGTCACAACGAGAAGTAATCAAAACAGATGTGATAAGTTAGCCGATCCCCAGGTTCGTTTCCCTCCTTGAGTGAAATAAATGTCGATCCAGTTGCACCAAATCAAGCTTATTGTGTGTTTGACATGGGTGAGGAGGAGTGCAGAGAGCGACGGAGGGGCTTCGAAGGGGAGCTCAGCCGGTCTCTTTTGTCCTCCCGCAGAAGCACCGAGAGCGATGCGGCGACGAAGAGGAAGACCAACCTCGTCTTTGAGAAAATGGAAGCGTTCACTGTAAGTCCCAGGGTGAGCTCCCACTGTTAGCCCCAGCTTCTGTCAATCTAGCAGTTCGAAAACATGCAAATGTGATTAGATCAATATGTACTGCTTTGGCGGGGAGGTAAGGGCGCTCCATGCAGTCATGCTGGCCACATGACCTTGGAGGTGTCTATGGAAACGCTGGTTCTTCGGCTTCAAAATGGAGATGGGCACCAATCCCCAGAGTCGGACACAACTAGACTTAACGTCAAGGGGAAACCTTTACCTTTATATGTGTGTATGTATAAATATAATAATATCATGTAGAGAAAAGCCATTCCATTCCTCCTCCGACCCCATCCGAGTTTTCCGAGGGAGATGAGAGGGTGCAGCATTGCATGTGGCACACGGCGGAGTCCGGCGGCTGGAGGGCAGGCAGAGAGGACGTCCGAGCCCCCGGGCGGGAGAGGGACGCTGACGCAGGCTTTGCTTCCAAGTCCGGAGGGATGGAAGAGACGCTGGGGAGGGACATTCCCCCGGAGCGGGCTTGCCGGGAGATCAAGAGGGACCTTTGGAAAGAGCAGGGAAGGAGAGCCAGTGCAGGATTGGAAGAGAAATCCTCCATCTCTTTGGAGCTTTGCAAAACATTCCTCCCACAACCCGGTAGATCCAGTCGTAATTAACACATTCATGGAAATATAGGACTCCTAGAGATAGAAAAGGTCCCCAAGGGCCATCCGGTCCAATCACCTTGCAGAAAGGCACAGTCAAAACCCTCCTGACAGATGGCCATCCAGTTCAAAAGCCTCTAGAGGAGACTCCACTGGACAGCCCGGCAGTCTATACTACACTAGAGTTGCATGAGTTCCTAAAAGGTCATCTAGTTCAACCCTTATCAATGAGACAGGAAGGAACAGTCAAAACCCTCCCAACAGATGGCCATCCAGTTCAAAAGCCTCCATTGGATTGCCAGGTAGTCTATACTTCACTAGAGTTGGGTGAGATCCTCAAAGGGCATCTAGTCCAACCCTCATCAGCAAGACAGGAAGGCACAGTCAAAACCCTCCCAACAGATGGACATCCAGCCTCAGTTCAAAAGCCTCCAGAGAAGGAGACTCCATTGGATTGGCAGGCAGTCTATGCTTCACTGGAGTTGGATGAGATCCCCAAAGGGCATCTAGTCCTCATCAGCCAGGCAGGAAGGCCCAGTCAAAGCCCTCCTGACAGATGGCCATCCAGCCTCAGTTCAAAAGCCTCAATTGGACTGCCAGGCACTCTATACTTCACTAGGGTTGGATGAGAATCCCAAAGGACATCTAGTCCAACCCTCATCAGTGACACAGGAAGGCTTAAGCGGCTGAGGGGCAACAGGAAAGGGCCTGAGGCTGTTAGGAATGGTGGGAGTTGGAGTCTAAAACCCCTGGAGGGCCCAGGTTGGCCCAGGCCTGCTTTAGAGTATGAGAATCAGCAGAACAGTGCCTATTGCACCTTGATGCACTTTGCATTTTGTGTGTGTTTGTTTGCATGTGGGGGGCGATGGCAGGCGGTCCCTTCCGCAGCACCGAGCACATCCCAGGCAAACGAATGGAAGCAGAAGGCCGAAGAGCTGCAGCGGAAACTGGACAAGCAGACCGAGGCGAGTTTAAGACCTCTTTCCTCTTTGCTACACCAATCTCTGACTCGGATTTGTTGAATTAAAATATCAGAATCCTAGAATTGGAAGGGACCGCCAGAGGCCATGTAGTCCATTCCCATTTGGCCAAGCAAGAAAACACTCTTCCTTTCCTTCTTTCCTTCCTTCCTTCCTTCCTTCCTCTGTTTCTCTCGTGCACCTTCACCCTCTTTCTCCTCTTCTCTTCCTTTATTTCCCTTCTTTCTCTCTTCCCTTCTTTCTTTCCTTCCCTCCTGTTTAATTACTCTTCCCTCCTTCCCTCCTTATTCTTTCTCTCCTTCCTTCCTTCCTCTGTTTCCCTCATACACCTTCTCCCTCTTTTTTCTCTTTTCTCCCTTTTCTCGCCTTCTTTCTCTCTTCCCTTCCTTCCTACTTTCATCCCTTCCTCTTCCTTTTTTTCTTTCCTTCCCTCCTGTTTAATTACTCTTCTTTCCCTCCTTTTTCTTTCTCTGCTTCCTTCCTTCCTTCCTTTTTTTCCCTCGTACGCCTTCACCCTCTTTCTCCTCTCCCTTTCTTTCCCTTCCTTCTTTCATCCCTTCCTCTTCCCTTCTTTCTCTCTCTTTCCTTCCCTTCTTTTTCTTTCTCTCCTTCCTTCCTTCCTTCCGTGCTTTCCCTTCTTTTTCCTCTCTCTCCCTCCCATACCCATGTCACTTTTCTTTCCCAGTGACATCACAGAGGGCCATTTCACCTGGCAACGATCTGATGTCTTTCCTTTTCCCTTGTTTTCTTTTTGTCCTTTTTGGGGTGCTATAGAGGCTGGAGCTTTCCCAGGAGAACCAGCGAAAGGGGGCCCCTCGCAACCTGGAGCTTCGCCTGGAAGAGCTGGAGGAAGAATGCCGCCGGCTGCGGGAAGCCCTTGAGAAGAAGAGCCAGGAGCTCCAGAGCAGTTGGAAAGAGTAGGGGCGCTCTTCTATTTCTGTTTACATCTGTCTGGCTGTTGGAGTTCAGCCCGTGATTGTGTTTCAGGATGAGGATGCTTTGGATTTGGGGAATGATGTCAATGAGGTTCAAGATGAGTTTCAAGATGGTCAGTGATCTTGATGCAGAGAATGACCAGGAGATCCCTGTAGTTTCCCATGAGAATGTCCCTGAGGGATGTGGGGATGATGATGATAGCTCGGCACTACTGAAATTAATGAGCAAATAGATAACGAGTTGAGAGATAGACGAGAAGAGTTCAGTCAAAACAGGAGAGCTGTTTTGGGCCCAGGTTGATACGTGGAGAGTATTTCTCTCCACGTACCAACCCGGGCCCTTAGATCTTCAGGGGAGGCCCTCCTTTCACCCCTACCAATCTCACATGTTCGTCTTGTGGGCACAAGGGAGAGAGCCTTCTCCTCTGTGGCTCCCTGTCTTTAGAACTCATTACCTGGAGAGATCAGGAAAGCCCCTTCTCTAGAAACGTTCAAAAAGAACCTTAAAACCCGGCTCTTCCGCTGCGCCTTTGGCGAGTAGGTGCACAATATGACCTCATTGCAAGCCCTCAACTCTTCCCACTGGAATTCATGCCCTCCAAATGGGAAGTTTAGCTTCACAACTATGTATGTTTTTACTAGTTCCCTGCAGATAACTTGCTCCTATTTTTATCTCGTTAGAGTCTTAGAATCATTTTTATTCAGTACATGTGGCCCGCCCATTGTTATTGTGACTGTGCCTATTGGAATGTTATTTTATGACTGTGTTTATATTTTTTTTCTTGATGTAATTTGATGATAATGTTTGTTTATGCTCTGGTTTTATTTTGTTGTAATGTGTTGTCCCGGCTTGGCCCCATGTAAGACGCTCCGAGTCCCCATATTATTATTATTATTATTATTATTATTATTATTATTATTATTATTATTATTATTATTGTGCAAAGGCTTAGGCACTCTGCCAGGCTTCAACAGAAAACAATAACAACGCCTCAACTAAAGAGACTGCGAGTGACCTAGCTAATAAGGGGATAAAAGTCTCAAGTGTGGGATGTGTAGTCAGACGAAGCATCATTTAGAATCACGCCAAGTTCTCATCCTTGTTTTATGGAAACCTTGCTTTGAAGTTTCATGCTAAGATATCTCGTGTTCATAGTTTTGGATTCCTGGATTTCATGTTTGCTTACCCAAGCCTTGGATCAATGTATTCCTGACTACCTCACAACCTCTGAGGATGCTTGCCATAGATGCAGGCGAAACGTCAGGAGAGAATGCCTCTAGAACATGGCCATATAGCCCGAAAAAAACCTACAACAACCCAACTATTCCTGATTTTCTGGATTGCATTGGAGATGTGTGGACTTTGCTTTTACGAACGTTGCTGAAATCTACCTTGGGACTAATTTGTTCCTGCTTATCTTCTTACCTTATTGGATTTACCTATTTCTTTAAAGTGCTTTTTTACTTGGCTGCTTTTTACTTATCTCCAATAAAAGGATTGTTTTTTTTTCCTATTCAACGTGTGGTGTTTAAAGTCAAAGGGTTATTCCCCTCTTGAGTCTCCCCAGGTGTGAGAAAGGCAGTATATAAATACTGTAAGTAAATAACTAAAATTCCGTTCTGGAGTGCAACACTGGCCATGTTATTGAAAAAAAAAGAGGTGACAGCTCAGGTCATGAATCGATCCTTAGTGCGATCCTCACGCTTTCTGCAGACTTTGTTTGAGTCCCTCATTTTGCTCCTCTGGGTTCTGGATCCCAAACCCTACGGATTCCCAGGCTTTGCCGTATCTGGTTCCCTGGATTCAGAGTTACAATCGAAGCAAGTCCCAACAAAGGATGTCAGTATTGGAATTAACTTCTGCAGTTTTCTGCTGCTTCCCATTCACATCACATTATTCTCCCTCCTCTTTGTTTTCATTCTGCAGATTGAAGGAGGCGAAAGCAGCCAAGGAGGAAACGGAGGCCAAGGTGGCCGACTTGGAAGAGCAGCTGACGGAGATGCAGGAGGCCCTCGACCGCTTCCGGGAGACGAGCGGAGGAGGCGCTCCGGACAGGGACGAGGTGCTGAAAGTGAGCTCAACATGAGACCCGAGATGCCTCAGGGTCTAAAGCCATATACCTTCCTCCTCTTATTTCTTTTCTTTCTCTTTCCCACTTTTTCTCCCTTTCCTCTCTTCTTTTCTTCCTTTTTTATTCCATTATTATTATTATTATTATTATTATTATTATTATTATTATTATTTTCCTCTCCTTCATACCTGGCTCTCTCTTTCTCCTTTGCTTTTCTCTTCTCTCCTTATCTCCCTTCCTTCTTCCCTTCCTTCCTTCCTTCCCCTTTGATTTCTTTCCCTTCTTTTTCTCTTTCCTCCTTTCCTCATGTCACCTTTCTTTTCCAGTGACACCAGAGAGGGCCACTTCACCTAGCAACAGCCACTCCTTCACTTAGCCACAATCAATCCAATGACATCACAGAGGACCACAAAGATATATACATAATTGACTTATAGATGGATAGATAGATAGATAGATATAGAGATATAGATATATAGATATAAGATATATAGATACAGTATATGTATAATAGATAGGTGGAGCCCTCAGTGCCACATCAATTTATTTCTATATTTGTGTGTGTATGTATACATTTGGATGTGCATAAGTTTGTGTGTGTGTATGTGTATATTCTGTATATGTATATTTCTATATATGTGTGTATGTATATATTTGGGTGTGCATAGGTGTGTGTATATGTGTGTATGTGTATATTTATTTCTATATGTGTGTGTGTATAGTTATATGTATATTTCTATGTGTGTGTATGTATACATTTGGGTGTGCATAGGTGTGTGTATATATGTGTGTGTGTATATTTATTTCTATATGTGTGTGTATAGGTTTATATATTTTTCTATATGTGTGTGTATGTATACATTTGGATGTGCATAGGTGTATGTGTATATATGTGTGTATGTGTATATTTATTTCTATATATGTGTGTGTATAGGTATATGTATATTTCTATATGTGTGTATGTATACATTTGGATGTGCATAGATGCGTGTGCATATATTTGTGTTTGTATATGTATATTTCTATATATGTGTGTGCATAGGTATGTATATACATATATATAATGTGTATATGTATATTTCTATATATATGTGTATACATTTGGGTGTGCATAGCTGTGTGTGTATATATGGGTGTGTGTGTGTATTTCAATATATGTGTGTATAGGTATATGTATATACATATATACAATGTGTATATGTATATTTCTATATATGTGTGTATGTATACATTTGGATGTGCATAGGTATGTGTTCATATGTGTGTGTGTGTATATTTCTCTATATGTGTATAGGTAATATGTATATACATATATATATAATGTGTATATATATATATTTCTATATATGTGTATGTATACATTTGGGTGTGCATAGGTGTGTGTATATATGTGTGTGTAAGTATATATTTATTTCTATATATGTGTGTATAGGAGCTGCTGGAGACCCAGGAGGCACTGGAGGAGACCCTTGCGGCGAAGCAGAAGGTGGATGAGCACCTGCGCCAGCGCGAACGCGAGCTGACGGCACTGAAAGGGGCCCTGAAGGAGGAGGTGGCCAACCACGATCGGGAGCTAGATCGGGTCCGGCAGCAGTACCAAGAAGACATGGAGCAGCTGCGGCGCAACATGGAGGATGTCTCACAGGTGAGCAGGATCACTCTCCAGTACGGGAGAAGGGAGGAAAGCCAGTGTGGAGTTAGCTGAAGACCCCTCTCCATCATTTACCTTATTTACTAACACTTTTTGGCTAATTGTGGCAAGATGAAAATCACACGTAATTCACGATTTACCAGTCCGCACACTGTCTTGTCGGAGAAAGAAAATATGCCTCACAGGTGATCAGTAAAGAACAAGTTTACTCTTTGTAATGCAGAGCACCATATATACAGTCATGAGAACAGTTGCATTGACTCACACAATGTCCTTTGAGAGAGATTCAAATGGTATTTAGGTGTCCATGTGGAAGATCTTCCAGCAGCTCATGAAGCAAGAACTGTCTCTTTCTTTTTAAGCTCTTGCACAGCCAAAGCCTAAATGTGTAACTGTTGCCAAAACTCCCAGGCTCAGCTAGCTTCTTGGACATGGCCCAACCAATCAGCTCTGTGCTTTGCATTTTCAGTTAACACACTCACCAACTGATTTTTTTACATGCCCTAACATAAATGGCCTCATCAAAATTTGCCATGCAATACCATATTTATTTATTTATTTATTTATTTGCGGCATTTATATGCCGCCCTTCTCACCCCAAAGAGGACTCATAATATCATAATAATATAATAATAATAAAATCATAGTTGGAAGAGCAGAAAAAGCACAATCATTATTATCCTTCTCTTAGAGAGGCTTACAAGTATATACAATATATTATTTTACTAGCATAGTACAATATCAGTATTGTATATTACTATATTGTTCTATACCATTATATTATTAGTAATATTACATGTAATATAAATATATAATTATAATATTGTATTATTATTAGTAGTAGTATTGTATTACATTATATTGTAAATATTATATGTATGTACCGTCGACCACGGTATCCTTCTGGGATGCCTCGCGGGGATGGCTCTTGGAGGGACTGTTTTGCAGTGGCTCTGGTCATTCCTGGAGGATCGATCTCAGAAGGTTGGGGGACACCTGTTCAACCCCACAACCATTGTCTTGTGGGGTTCCTCAGGGCTCAATATTGTCTCCCATGTTGTTTAACATCTACATGAAGCCGCTGGGGGAGATCATCCGGAGTTTCGGGGTACGGTGTCATCTGTACGCGGATGATGTCCAACTCTGTCACTCCTTTCCACCTGCTACTAAGGAGGCTGTCCAGGTCCTGAACCGGTGCTTGGCCGCTGTGACGGTCTGGATGAGGGCGAACAAATTGAAATTGAATCCAGACAAGACAGAGGTACTCCTGGTCAGTCGCAAGGCCGAACAGGGCATAGGGTTACAGCCTGTGTTGGATGGGGCCGCACTCCCCCTGAAGATGCAGGTTCGCAGCTTGGGTGTGACCCTGGACTCATCGCTGAGCCTGGAAGCCCAGGTTTCGGCGGTGACCAGGGGAGCATTTGCACAGCTAAAGCTTGTGCGCCAGCTGCGCCCGTACCTTGGGAAGTCTGACTTGGCCACGGTAGTCCACGCTCTGGTTACATCCCGTTTAGACTACTGCAACGCTCTCTACGTGGGGTTGCCTTTGAAGACAGCTCGGAAGCTCCAACTAGTCCAACGCTCGGCAGCCATGATTTTAACAGGAGCGGAGCGCAGGGAGCATACAACCCCCCTGTTGCGCCAACTCCACTGGCTACCGATCTGCTACCGGGCTGAATTCAAAGTGCTGGCGTTGGCCTTTAAAGCCCTAAACGGTTCCGGCCCAAGCTACCTATCTGACCGCATCTCTGCCTATGAACCCACCAGGAGTTTGAGATCTTCCGGGGAGACCCTGCTCTCGATCCCGCCTGCTTCTCAAGCTCGGCTGGCGGGACGAGAGATAGGGCCTTCTCGGTGGTGGCTCCTCGGCTGTGGAACGCCCTTCCCACGGACATTAGACTAGCACCATCTCTAATGGTATTCCGCAAAAAGGTGAAGACCTGGATGTTTGTGCCGGCGTTTGAGTAATTTAGTGCAATCTGGTAATGGAACATAGGAATGGAACAATGGACGACGAACCTGGACTACGCTTGGATGATGAGAAGATTGGGTACGGTTGTTTTTCGTAATAATTGTGCATTGTAATTGCTTATTGGTAATTTATGGATAATGTGTTAAGTCAATTGTTATATGTTGTATGGAACCACTGCTGTTTCTACTGTTTCTACTGTTTGTGAACCGTTGTGAGTCGCCTTCGGGCTTGAGATACAGCGGTATAGAAGCAAAGTCAATAAATAAATAAATAAATAAATACAATATATTGCATTATATTATATTATTAACATAGTACAATATCAGTATTATATATTACTGTATTGTTCTATACCACTATTTTGTAATATTATTAGTATAAATATATAATTATATAAATATATGATTATAATATCGTATTATTATTATTAGTATTATATTGTATTACATTATATTGTAAATATTATATGTATATACAATATATTGCATTATATTATATTATTAGCATAGTACAATATCAGTATTATATATTACTATATTGTTCTATACCATTATATTGTAATATAATTAGTAATACTACGTAATATAAATATATAATTATAGTGTTATTATTCATATTATATTGTATTACATTATAATATATATATATATAATATTATTAACATAGTACAATACTAGTATTATATATTACTATATTGTTCTATACCATTATATTGTAATATTATTAGTAATATTACATGTAATATAAATGTATAATTATAATATATTATTATTATTATTAGTATTATATTGTATTACATTATATTATAAATATTATATGTATATACAATATATTATATTATTAGCATAGTAAAATATCTGTAGTAAATATTACTATATTGTTCTATACCATTATATTGTAATATTATTAGTAATACATGTAATATAAATATATAATTATAATATCATATTATTATTAGTATTATATTGTATTACATTATAATATTATAAATATTATATGTATATACAATATATTATAGTACATTATATTATATTATTAGCATAGTACAATATCAGTATTATATATTACTATATTGTTATATACCATTATATTGTAATATTATTAGTAATATTACGTGTAATATAAATATATAAATATAATGTAGTATTATTCATATTATATTGTATTATATATTTTAAATATTATATGTATATATTATATTATATTATATTATATTATTAGCATAGCACATGAGACAAGCTGGAAGTGTCCCCTGGCCACCTCTAACATATGGATGCCTCCTGGTTTTCTTCTCCCTGACCAAGCCTTCAATGGCCCTGCTTTGTGTGCCTTGGGCATCTTGGAGGGCTTCTTGTCCTGAGTGTTGTGCTTTTCCGCGCAGGACCAGGCCAGTCTGGAGGCCGAGCGGCAGAAGATCAACTCGGTGGTGCGGAACCTGCAGCGGGAGTTGGAGGAGAACAGCGAGGAGACGACGCACTGGAAGGAGATGTTCCAGAGGAACAAGGAGGAGCTGCGCAACGCCAAGCAGGAGTGAGGCCATGCTTTATTTATTTATGGTGTCAGAAGCAAATTGAGTGTACAGGTGTGATGTATGAAAAAAACACAAACAAAGTTAAAAACTCTGGTGTGGCTGTGAGAAGATCCTCCATTGTGCATGTGGCAGGGCTCAGATTGCATTGTAGTCGGTGGTCTGTGGCTTGCTCTTCTCCAAATTCACATGTCGTGGGCACCACTTTGTGGCCCCATTTCTTATGGTTGGCTCTGCATCTCGTGGTGCCCGAGCGCAGTCTGTTCAGCGCCTTCCAAGTCACCCAGTCTTCTATGTGCCCAGGGGGGAGTCTCTCATCTGGTCTCAGCCACTGCTGAGGTTTTGGGTTTTAACCTGCCACCTTTGCACTCCTGCTTGCTGAGGTGTTCCTGCAAGTATCTCTGTAGATCTTAGGAAGCTATTTCTTGATTTAAGGCATTGTCATGCTGGCTGATATCCGAACAGAGGATGGGCCGGAGATGTCACTGCCTTGGTCCTTTCACTTGGTCCTTTCATCCTTGGCGGATATCAGGTGGTGCGATACCAGCTAAATAGTATAATTTCTCCAGTGGTGTATGGTGTAGACATCCTGTGATAATGTGCGCATGTCTCATTAAGAGCCACATCCACTGTTTGTGCGTGGTGAGATGTATTCCACACTGGGCATGCATATTCAGCAGCAGAGTAGCAAAGCGCAAGGGCAGATGCCTTCACTGTGTCTGGTTGTCATCCCCAGGTTGTGCCAGTCAGCTTTCAAACGATGCCATTACTAGTGCCCATTTTTTGCTTGATAGTCAAGCAGTGCTTCTTATAAGTCAGAGAATGTTCCAGTGTGACTCCCAGGTATTTGGGTGCGTTGCAATGCTCCAGTGGGATTCCTTCTCAGATCATCCTCAGAGCGAGAGATGCTTGTCTGTTCTTAAGACGAAAAGCACACGTGTGCGTTTTAGATGGATTAGGGATCAGCTGGTTTTTCCTGTAATAGGCAGTAAGAGCACCTCAAGCTTCAGAGAGCTTCTGTTCAACCATTTCAAAGCTCCCTGCTTGAGTAGTGATGGCATAATCGTCAGCATAGATGAAACTCTCTGTCCCTTCAGGCAGTGGCTGGCCATTTGTGTGAATGTAAACATTAGGAATCAGCTGGTTTTCCCTGTAATAGGCAGTAAGAGCACCTAAAGCTTCAGAGAGATTTTGTCCAGCCATTGCAAAGCTCCCTGCTTGAGCGGTGATGGCATGATCGTCAGCATAGATTAAACTCTCTCTCTCTCTCTCTCTCTCTCTCTCTCTCTATATATATATATATATATATATATATATATATATATAGGACTCAATTATCAGAGAAAAGGAAGATTAGGAATCAGCTGGTTTTTCCTGTAATAAGCAGTAAGAGCACCTAAAGCTTCAGAGAGCTTCTGTTGAACCATCTCAAAGCTCCCTTCTTGAGCGGTGATGGCATTATCATCAGCATAGATGAAACTCTATATATATATATATGACTCCATTATCAGAGAAAAGGATGATTAGGAATCAGCTGGTTTTTCCTGTAATAAGCAGTAAGAGCACCTAAAGCTTCATAGAGCTTTTATTGAACCATTTCAAAGCTCCCAGCTTGAGCAGTGATGACACGATCGTCAGCATAGATGAAACTCTCTCTATATAGGACTCCATTATCGGAGAAAAGGAAGATTAGGATTCAGCTGGCTTTTTTCCTGTAATAAGGAGAGCTTCATTTCATTTCAAAGTTCCCCGCTTGAGTGGTGATGGCACGATCGTCAGCATAGATGAAACTCTCTGTCCCTTCTGGCAGTGCCTGGTCATTTGTGTAGGTGATTACATAAGGAAAGCCTGGAACCAACTGAGTTCCAGAAGGTGGTGATGATGATGATAACAATAACATGATAAAAATATTGATGATAATAATACAATGATGATGGTGATAATATGATGTAAATCATCCCCAGTTTTGTGAAGGAGTGAGAGGCCATCCTGTCTCCAAATGGATTGTCCTTATTTCTCCTTACCTTCACGGCTCGGCTGATTCCTGTTCCGTCTCTCTCTTTCTCCCTTTCTCCTTCCTTCCAGACTGATGCAGGTGAAGGTAGAGCGGGAGGATTTTGAGGAGGAGCTGAAAGAGATGCGCGACCGCTTCAACTCAATGCAGAAGGAGCTGGACCAAGTCCGGAACGATCCCGAGAACGACGGGCAGGCCAGCGCCCTCCGAAAGGTTGGCTTGTTACCATGGGCGCGTCCGAATAGTGTTCGTAGCCCACAGAATGTCTCGGCCCCTTTTACTCTCAGTGTGATAAAAACACACAAAAATACACACGAGTCTGTTGCTTTAAGTAGAAACAAAAATATAGTTCTATTCACTGTAAATTTGTTACTTTTATTATTTCAAATATTTGTACCCTGCCCTTCTCAACCCCTGGAGGGGGACTCTGGTGAATAGATCAAAAACACAAAGCAAAACAGAGTAAATACTGTATATACTCAAATATAAGCCTAGTTTTTCAGCCCTTTTTTTAGGCTGAAAAAGTCCCTCTCGGCTTATACTCGAGTCAAGGTTATTTATTATTTTACTCTGTATTATTATTATTATTATTATTATTATTATTACATTTATCATTTTACTCTACTATTATACATTTATTATTTTACTGTATAATTGTTGTTATTGCTACATTCGTTATTTAACTCTTTTTTATTATTATTGTTATTATTACATTTGTTATGTTGCTCTCTTTATTATTGGAAGGATACGTAAGCACATTTACATTGAAGAAGGTAAATAATCATTTGATCAGGGTTGGACAGTTTTATTTTAAATTACTATTTTTGTAAATATTCAAAAATATATAACCTACTGATTTCTCAGTTAATGTAATTTAATTGGTATCTATTTTTATTTTGCAATTTACCAGTAGTCGCTGCATTTCCCACTCTCGGTTTATACTCGAGTTAATCCGTTTTCTCAGTTTCTTTGTGGTAAAATTAGGTGTCTCGGCTTATATTCGGGTCGGCTTATACTCGAGTATATGCGGTAATTGTTCTCACCACTATACAACAGACAATATCTCTGATGTGCTTCTTTACACGATGATATGCAAACACACAGCAAAATAATACAATCTCTCTACTTAGTTATGAGTAGAATGTCCTTATCTTGCCATAAACAATCAGTTTCCTTGGCACTCCAAACGGATTCAGTCTTCAGCTTCAGGACGCTGTGTAACCACTCCCAGCAACAGCCAACAGTTTCTTCAGCTCAAACGAGCCATCAAGCTGAGCCAAATGCCTTGTTACATGTTGAATCAGATAACACACCCAATTAATTTGTGGCCACTGTAACAGAAAAGGTTCTCATCCTCCCTGTTACTTAGAAAAAGCCTGTTGTAAACCTCTAGTAGTAAAAGGACATCCAAGGAAGGGAGAATGAGTTAGAAATGTCTCAAAGGCTGATTGTTGGGACCCAACCAAGTTCGTTTTCATTTGCAATATGTCACTAATATTGGTCAGCCATTCCCATATTTTGGGGGACTCTCCACCGCGATGGGGTGTCTCCCGCTCAGGCGTGTCCCCTCTTTTCTCCTCCGCCCAGGAGTTGCGTGAGGTCCGGGACCAGCTTCGAGAGCTGACCCTGGAGAAGCAGGCCCAGGACGAGGTGCGGCGTCAACGCGAGCGGGAGGTGAGCTCCCTGAAGGCGGCCCTCAAGGAGGAGCGCTCCCGCCACGAAGGCGAGGCGGCCGAGATGAAGCGGCAGTTCCAGCAGGACGCCCAGCAGCTCCGGAAGGATTCCGAGGAGGCCTTCAAGGCAAGCGCTTGGGCAGCCGGGATCAGGGTTCGGCTTTCGCTTTGGTTTGGACTTAACTGTATTTACTCCTTGAGTATCTTGCGCCATCAAATCTAATGCACACCTCAATTTTGAAAACTGTAATTTGGCCACTGCAGTTGCTGCCGGTTTAGAATTCCTTCTTTACAAGCAAAAGTGTTAGAACACCAAAGCTTCCAGTATTTGAAAAGAAAACCTTGGGGTGCATTTATTTATTTATCATTTCTTTATTTACGACATTTATATGCCGCCCTTGTCACCCCGAAGGGGACTCAGAGTGGCTTACAAGATATATATACATACAATATATTATATTAGTAGAATAGTACAATATCAGGATTATATATTATTACTATATTGTATTATACCATTATATTGTAATATTATTAATAATATTACATGCAATATAAAATATATAATAATAATATGTTATTATTAGTATTATATTGTATGGCATTATATTACATTATATTATTAGCATAGAACAATATCAGTAATAAGTATTATTACTATATTGTATTATACCATTATATTGTAATATTATTAATAATACTACATGTAATATAAAATATATAATAATATATTATTATTAGTAGTATTATATTGTGTTGCATTATATTACATTATATTAGCATAGTACAATATCAGTATTATATATTATTACTATATTGTATTATACCATTATATTGTAATACTATTAATAATATTACATGTAATATAAAATATATAATAATATATTATTATTAGTAGTATTATATTGTATGGCATTATATTACATTATATTATTAGCATAGAACAATATCAGTATTAAATATTACTATATTGTACTATACCATTATATTGTAATATTATTAGTAATGTTACATGTAATATAAAATATATAGTTATAATATCGTATTATTATTTGTATTATATTGTATTACATTATTATAAATATTATATGTATATACAATATATTATATTACATTATGTTACATTATATTATTCGCATAGTACAATATCAGTATGAAATATTTCTATATTTTACTATACCATTATATTGTAATATTATTAGTAATATTACATGTAATATAAATGTAAAATTATAATTTATTATTAGTATTATATTGTATAACACTATAATATTATAAATATATGTATATACATTATATTATATTATATTATATTATATTATATTATATTATATTATATTATATTATATTATATTATTAGCATGGCACAGGAGACATGATGGAACTGTCTCCCTGCCCCCCCCCCCCCCGCCCCCTTCACCAAACTACAAATCCCTGGAAGGCATGGCTTTGAGTCTTGGCAATTGAATGAGAGGAGACGTCTCTCAAAGAGGAGCTCCTTGCGCTCTTGGAGCATCTTCCCCTTTGGCTTGGGCTCAGCACTAAGATTACTGTATTGTGCGAATCTAATGCGTGTCCTAATTGTGGCAAGGTCATTTAGCCAAAAACTGTCAGCCCTCCAAAACACCTGGAGGGCTGAAGTTTGCCCATGCCCGATGGATACAATGCTCATGTCACCCGTCCTCCCTTCTTTCATCCCTTCCTTCTTTCCTTCCTGTTGTTTCCGCAGGTGAAGGCAGCCCTGGAGGGGGCGAAGGAGGCTACGGAGCAGACCAAGAAGGCGGTGGAGACCACGCTGCGGGAGACGCAGGAGGAGAACGACGACCTGCGACGGAGGATCCTGAGCCTGGAGACGCAGGTCAAGGAGTACCGGCACTTTGCGGACAACTGGCAGGGCATCGAGGCCCGGCTGAAGGAGAAGATTGCCAAGATGGAGGTAGGAGCAGAGACACAACTTCAAACAAAGCAAACACAGAAATTTAAACCAATTCCATATTTGTGTGGAGCTGTTTGTTTATTTACTTATTTATTTACGACATTTATATGCCACCTTCTCACCCCAAAGGGGACTCAGAGCGGCTTACAAGTTATATGTAAATACAATATATTATATTATTAGCATAGCACAATATTAGTAAAATACATTCCCATATTGTATTTCACCAATATACTGTAGTATTATTAGTAATAGTAGCTGTAATATGAAATATATAATTATTATGTTGTATTACATTATAATATTATTATCAATATTATATATATGTGTATACAATATATTATTAGCACAGCACAATATTAGTAGTATGTAATTGCTATATTGTACTATGCCAGTATACTGTAATATTATTAGTAATATTACCTGTAATATGAAATATATAATTATTATATTTTATTATTACTATATTATATTACATTATAATATTATTGTCAATATTATATGTGTATACAATATATTATATCATTAGCACAGTACAATATTAGTATTATGTGATTACTATATTGTACTGTGCCAGTATACTAATATACTGTAATATTATTAATATTACCTGTAATATGAAATATAAAATTATTTTATGGTATTATTATTATTATTATTACTATTATTATATGTGTATACAATATATTTTATTATTAGCACAGCACAATATTAGTATTATGTAATTACTATATTGTACTATACTAATATACTGTAATATTATTAATATTACCTGTAATATGAAATATATAATTATTATATTGTATTATTATTATTATTATTATTATTATTATTATTATATGTGTATACACTATATTATATTATTAGCACAGCACAATATTAGTATTATGTAATTACTATATTGTACTATACCAGTTTAGTGTAATATTATTAATATTACCTCTAATATGAAATACATAATTATTATATTATTATAATTATAAGTGTATACAATATATTATTAGCACAGCATTATATTAGTATTATGTAATTACTATATTGTACTATACTAGTATACTATAGTATTATTAGTAATATTACCTGTAATATGAAATATATAATTATTATATTTATTATTATTATTATTGTATTACATTATAATATTATCATCAATATTATATGTGTGTACAATATATTATATTATTAGCACAGCACAATATTAGTATTATGTAATTACTATATTGTACTATGCCAGTTTATTGTAATATTATTAGTAATATTACCTGTAATATGAAATATTTAATTATATTGTATTACATTATAATATTATTATCAATATTATATGTGTATACAATATATTATATTAATAGCACAGCACAATATTAGTATTATGTGATTACTATATTGTACTATACCAGTATACTGTAATATTAGTAATATTACATGTAATATAAAGTACAATTTTTATATATTACTAGCTGTACCCCCCACGCATTGCTGTGGCCAACCTTCCCTCCCTCTTTCTCTCCTTCTTTTCCTCCTTCCTTCACTCCCTCCTTCCTTCCTTCCTTCCTTCCTTTTTTTCCCTTCTCTCCATTCTTCCTTCTTTACCTCTTTCGTTCCTTCTCCCCTTTTTCTTTCTCTTCCCTCTTTCTCTCCATTTTCCCTTATCTAGCTTTCTTTCCTTCCTTCGCTTTTTGCTTCCACCCTTCTGTCTTTTCTTCTTTCCTTCTCTCTCCCTTTCTTTCCTTCTCCCCTTTTCTTTCTCTTCCCTCTTTCTCTCCATTCTTCCTTATCTAGCTTTCTTTCCTTCCTTCGCTTTTTGCTTCCACCCTTCTGTCTTTTCTTCTTTCCTTCTCTCTCCCTTTCTTTCCTTTTCCCCTTTTCTTTCTCTTCCCTCGTTCTCTCCATTCTTCCTTATCTAGCTTTCTTTCCTTCCTTCGCTTTTTGCTTCCATCCTTCCGTCTTCCCTCCCCTCTGTCTTTCTCTCCTTTCTTCTTTCTCTACTTCTTTCCTTCCTTCCTGCCTTTGCTTTTTGCTTCTATCCATCCTTCTATCTTTCCTTCTTTCCTTTCCTCCCTCTTCTCCTCCTTCTTTCCCTCCTTCCTTCGCTCCCTCTTTCCTTCCCTTTGTTTCTTTCCTTCTCTCTTTCCTTCTTTCCTTCCCTCCTTCTTTCCCTCATTCCTTTGCTCCCTTTTTTCTTTCCTTCTCTCCTTCCTTCCTTCTCTACCTCTTTCTTCCCTTCCTTTTTCTTTTCTCCTCTTTCTTTACCTCTTTCCTCTCTTCCTTTGCTCTTTCTTTCCATGCTTCCTTCTCTCTTTCCTTCTTTCTTTTCCTCCCTCTTTCTCTCCTTCCTTCCTTCCTTCCTTCCTTCCTTTCTTTATTTCCTTCTCCCCTTCCTTCCCTCTTTCTTCCATTTTTTCTGTATCATCATTTAGCTTTTTTTTTTTTTTAGTTTTTAAGCCCTTTTTACTGTTTTTTGGGGGGTGGTGGTGGTTATGAGTGATGGTCACTTGTTGGTCTGTTAGGGGTGTAGTGTCCAAGTTTCATGTCAATTTGTCCAGTGGTTTTTGAGTTATGTTAATCTCACAAACATTACATTTTTATTTATATAGATGATTTTTTATTTATCGTGTCATCAGCAACCATACCATTGTATTACATTTCTAACAGAACAAAACAAACAAACAGATTAAAAAAAAACACAGATTTTGCAAACTTGGTATTTGGTTAAATGTCCTTTGACCAGTCTCTGGCCACTTGGAGTGCCTCTGGTGTTGCCGCAATAAGGTCCTCCCTTGTGCATGTGGCAGGGCTCAGGGTGCATTGCAGCAGGTGGTCAGTGGTTGGCTCTTCTCCCCACTCGCATGTCGTGGACTCCACTTTGTGGCCCCATTTCTGAAGGTTGGCTCTACATCTCGTGGTCGCCCAGTCCTTCCAGGTCGCCAGTCTTCTGTGTGTCCAGGGGGGAGTCTCTCATTTGGTATCACCCACGGATTGAGGTGCTGGGTTTGGGCCTGCCACTTTTGGACTCTTGCTTGCTGAGGTGTTCCAGCGAGTGTCTCTGTAGATCTAAGAAAACTATGTCTTGATTTAAGTCATTGACATGCTGGCTGATACCCAAACAAGGGATGGGCTGGAGATGTCTCTGCCTTGGTCCTTTCACTATTGGCTGCTACTTCCCGGCGGATGTCAGGTGGTGCAGTACCGGCTAAGCAGAGTAATTTCTCCAGTGGTGTAGGGCGCAGACACCCTGTGATAACGTGGCATATCTCATTAAGAGCCACATCCACTGTTTTAGCGTGGTGAGATGTGTTCCACACTGGGCATGCATACTCAGCAGCAGAGTAACAGCGCAAGGGCAGATGTCTTCACTGTGTCTGGTTGTGATCCCCAGGTTGTGCCAGTCAGCTTTCGTATGATGTTGTTTCTAGTGCCCACTTTTTGCTTGATGTTCAGGCAGTGCTTCTTGTAGGTCAGAGAACGGTCCAGAGTGGCTCCCAGGTATTCGGGTGTGCTGCAATGCTCCAATGGGATTCCTTCCCAGGTAATAATCCTCAGAGCTCGGGATGCTTGTCTGTTCTTGAGAAAAGCACATGTCTGTGTTTTAGATGGATTAGGGATCAGCTGGTTTTCCCTGTAATAGGCAGTAAGAGCACCTAGAGCTTCGGAGAGCTTCTGTTCTACCATCTCAAAGCTCCCTGCTTGGGCGGTGATGGCACGATCATCAGCATAGATGATGATGATTATTATTGTTATTATATTGTAATAATATAATTTTCAAGAACCACGTGTGCATGCCTTGGGAATAACGGGGGTTGTGAAGCCTTGCCTTCCCGCCCGCTTCAAGGCCCGCGCTGTGTCCCTTTCCCCAGGGGGACCGCAAGCAGATGGAGGTGTCCCTGGAGGAGGCCTCGGACCAGGAGGAGGAGCTGCTGATGGCCAAGCGCTCGCTGGAGAGCCGCCTGGAAGAGGCCCAGCGCAGCCTCAACCGCCTCTCCCGGGAGCACCAGGACCTGAGCGCCTCCTTGCACGAAGAGGTCAAGCAGAAGGAGCAGCTCAAGAGGGCCAAGGCCGAGCTGGAGGACGAGAAGCGCCTGCTGGACAAGAGCGTCGCCAAGCTGACCAAAGAGGTGAGTCCTGGCAGTGGCGGGATCCTGGCCACCATCGTTTACATAGCCTTGTTTTTGAAATCAGTCACCCCCAAATCCTGCCAGTATTGGCCATGTTGGGTTCATGTTGTGGTGACCCCCAACCATAACATTGTTTTTGTTGCTACTTCGTAACAGTCATTTTACTACTGTTATAAATCATAATGTAAATATCAGATATGCAAGATGTATTTTCATTCACTGGACCAAACTGGGCACAAATACCCAATGCACCCACATGTAAATGCTAGTGGGGTTGTGGGAGGATTGATTTTGTAATTTGGGAGTTGTAGTTGCTGAGATTTATAGTTCACCTATAATCAAAGAGCATTCTGACCTGCATCAGCGATGAATTTGAACCTAATTTGCCACACAAAACTACCATGACCAGTGGAAAACTCTGGAAGGGTTTGGTGGGTATTGACCTTGAGTTTAGGAGTTGTAGTTCACCTATATCCGGAGAGCACTGTGGACTCACACAATGGTAGATCTGGAGTAAACTTGACACAAATACTCAATATGCGCAAATGTGAGCACTGGTGGAGTTTGGGGAAAATAGACCTTGACATTTGGGAGTTGTAGTTGCTGGGATTTATAGTTCATTACAATCAAAGAACATTCTGAACTCCACCAAGGATAGAACTGGACCAAACTTCCCACATGGAATCCCCATGACCATCAGAAAATACTGTGTTTTCTGATGGCGACCCCTCTGACACCCCTTTGCGACCCCTTTAGGGGTCCCGACCCCCAGGTTGAGAAGCACTGCTCTAGGAGATATCATTGAAAAACTAGAGCATAATGTGCTACAGGATGTCCCTCCCGCAAAGATAAAGTTTGTGCAGTTTAATAAACGTTTTTTCCATGTTTTTATGATAGAACCAATTAGGAAATGATATTGATAACCCAGGAACAAAAAATCGTGGTGCATGATGTCATTGGTCATCTTGCACCAGATCATCCAGGAGTTGGGTGGGAATGGGAACTTCCATTGACCTGGTCTTCTTCTGCAGCTGGACCAGATGGCGCAGGAGTCGCACGGGGCTCTCTCCTCGCTTCAGTCGCAGCTGGAAGAGTACAAGGAGCGGTCCCGCAAGGAGATCACTGACACGCAGAAGCAGGCCAAGGACCGCAACGCCGAAGTTGAGAAGATGCAGTACAACCTGGGGAGACTGCAAGACGAGGTAACGATGGGTGGGAGGGAGGGAACCAAGGCCTTCCTTTGGTCTGTTTTGCAAAACATAATAATAATAATAATAATAATAATAATAATAATAATAATAATAATAGACCTTGGCCTGCACTTAAACACAATCGGCGCTGACAAAATTACCACCTGCCAGCTGCAAAAGGCCACACAACTGGGATCTACATGCATTATTCGCCGATACATCACACAGTCCTAGACACTTGGGAAGGCTCCGACGTGTGATCCAATACAACAGCCAGCAGAGTGTCTGCTGTGGACTCATCTTGTTGTGTTTCAAATAATAATAATAATAATAATAATAATAATAATAATAATAATAATAATAATAATAATAACAACAACAACAACAACAATAATAATAATAATAATAATAATAATAAAAGACTGTGGCCCAAGCCAGTCAAGGTGGTCCCAGTGGTGATCGGCACACTGGGTGCAGTGCTTCAAGACCTTGGCCTGCACTTAAACACAATTGGCGCTGACAAAATTACCACCTGCCATCTGCAAAAGATCACTTTATTGGGATCTGCACACATGATTTGCCAATACATCACACAGTCCTAGACACTTGGGAAGTGTCCGACATGTGTTCCAATACAACAGCCAGCAGAGTGACCTTGTTTGCTGTGGACTGATCTTGTTGTGTTTCAAATAATAATATAAGGATTTAAAGATCAAACTGTAAAGACTCTGGCACAAGCCAGTCAAGGGGGTCCAGTGGTTATCAGCACATTGGGTGCAGTACCTAAAGACCTTGGCCTGCACTTAAAAACAATCGGCACTGACAAAATTGCCAGCTGTAAAATGCCACCCTGCTTGGATTTGCACGCATTATTAGCTAGACACTTGGGAAGGGTCTAACGTGTGAGCCAATACAACAGCCAGCAGAATGACCTTGCTTGCTGTGCAGTCATCTTGTTGTGTTTATAGTAATAATAATAATAATAATAATAATAATAATAATGCAACAGCCAGCAGAGTTGTCTTGTCTGCTGTGGACTCATCTTGTTGTGTTTCTAAAATAATAATAATAATAATAATAATAATAATAATAATAATAATAATGCACTTATAATAATAATAAATCATAACTATATTATAATTAATAATAATTATAATAATAATACAACAGCCAGCAGAATGATCTTGTCTGCTGTGGACTCATCTTGTTGTGTTTCTAATAATAATAATAATAATAATAATCTTATAACTATATTATTATTATTATTATTTATTAATACAGCCAGCAGAGTGATCTTGTCTGCTGTGGACTCATCTTGTTGTGTTTCTAATAATAATAATCATCATCATCATCATCTTATAATAATAATCATCATAACTATATTATTATTACTAATACACTTATAATAATAGTAATAAATCATAACTATATTATTATTATTAATAATAATAATAATAATAATAATAATAATAATAATAATACAACAGCCAGCAGAGTGATCTTGTATCCTGTGGACTCATCTTGTGTTTATAATAATAATAATAATAATAATAATAATAATAATAATAATAATAATAATACAGCGAGCAGAGTGGTCTTGTCTCCTGTGGACTCATCTTGTGTTTCAAATAATAATACACTTTATTTATATACAAACATTCAATCACATGAGGCACACAAACACAAAGGCAGAGGCTTCTCCTTTCATTTCCGGCTTCTGGAGGCGGTGCTTTTCTCAATTTTCAAGCCGAGGAGCCTGTGTTGTCACCTCCAGCAAGGATTGCTTGCAGCGTCTCTTTGCCTTTTCCCACGGAAGCAGTACCTAATTATCTACTCATATTTGCATGTTTTCGAACTGCTTCCTACAGGGAGGAGGGTTTGAACATAAGGCAGACTCCTATATATATTTCCCAGGACGGGAGGGGAGTCCGACTCTGCTCCATCACCCCACTTCTCACTGTGTGTCTCCCCGAAGGTGACGCGGCTGAAGCAGGCGCTGCAGGACAGCCAGGCCGAGCGGGAGAACGCCGTGTTGGACAAAGAGCTGCTGGCCCAGCGCCTCCACAACCTGGAGCAGGAGATGGAGACCAAGCGGAGGGCCCAGGACGACCGCTCCCGCCAGGTGAAGGCCCTCGAGGTTGGTATCCCCCCCACCACCCATTTGTTTTGTTTTGGATTCTTATGAGATTGTGGAGTTGTGGGATTATAAATAAAGTTGTTGTGTTTATATCCCATAATACGTGAACCTCTATATTGCACACTAGTGTACATCTTAAAAGAGATGTATATACCTCTCAAATATTTTGCTGCTTTGAATATAAGGGTGGGGTGGGGGAAAAATAAGAGAGAAGAAATGGTATAGGCAAATACACACTTCTCCCACCAGGGGGCAGCACAGGACTTTGATCCAACTTTTGTTTGTTTATTTATTTACGACTCAGAGCGGCTTACAAATATATATACATACAATATATTATATTATTAGCACAGTACAATATCAGTATTATATGTTACTATATTCTACTATACCATTATATTGTAATATTATTAGTAATATTACATGTAATATAAAATGTATAATTATAATATCACATTATTGTTATTAGTATTGTATTACATTATAATGTTATAAGTATTATATGTATATACAATATATATTATTAGCATAGTACAATATCAATATTGTATGTTACTATATTGCACTATACCATTATATCGTAATATTATTAGTAATATGACATGTAATATAAAATATATAGTTATAATTTCATATTATTGTTAGTAGTATTATATTGTATTACATTATAATGTTACAAATATATGTATGTACAATATATTATATTATTAGCATAGTACAATATCAGTATTCTATATTACTATATTGTACTAAACCATTATATTATAATGTTATTAGTATTATTACATATAATATAAAATGTATAATTATCATATCCCATTATTGTTACATTATAATTTTATAAATTCTATATGTATATACAATATATTATATTGTATTATTAGCATAGTACAATATCAGTATTATATATTACTATACAATTATATTGTAATATTTTTAATATTACATGTAATATAAAATATATAGTTATAATATATTATTGTTAGTAGTAGTATATTGGATTACATTATAATATTATAAATATGATATGTATATGCAATATATTATATATTATATTATATTATATTATATTATATTATATTATATTATATTATATTATTAGCATAGCACAGGAGACAAGATGGAACTGTCCCCTGGCCTTCCCTCTCTACACTCTGGCCCAGTTTCTACATTTTGGGCTCAGTTGGTCTTCTTTATTTACTATTTGGGTCCCCGGCATTGCCCGGGCTATTTGGAAGTCCGTATTTAATTGTATAAAATGCATCAGGTTGTGGGTGAACTACAGCTCCCATCATGCCAGGTGAACCCCCTGAAACAGTACTTCAGTACTTCAAGTTTGTTATGTTGGGCACGTTTGCTCTGGATGTATCATTGGTGGAGTTCAGTGTGCTCTCTAGCTGCAGGGTAAACTACAACTCCCGCTATGGTGAGTCAGTCCCCTCAAACCCTTCCAGTAGGTTGAGTTAGTCAGCGGGGTTCTGTGTGCCAAGTTGGGTCCAGGTCCATCATCGGTGGAGGCCACATTTGTTATGTTGGGCAACTCCCAGAAAGGAAGGCTAGCCGTTGCCATCTTGTTTTCTCTGCGTCTGCAACATTGAAATGCCTTGATGCAATTGGCAGGACAAATCGAAACGCCTGGAAGTGGAGCTGGACGAGGAGAGAAGCACGGTGGAGCTGCTGACGGAGAGGATCAACCGGACGAGGGACCAGGTGGGTCGGGAGTCCCATTGTGAGGCCAAGGCCAATGGAGATGCCGTTGGTCCAGTGCCGGTCTTCAGTGGCCTCATGTACAGTGTATAACTACTAGGCATGTGCAAATAAATCAGAAAGCCTCGTAAAATTCATTAATTTTGTGTATATAAGTAGTAGACATGTGGAAATAAATCAGAAAGCCTCGTAAAATTCATTAATTTTGTATATATAATAATAATAATAATAATAATAATAATAATAATATAACTACTAGGCATGTGCAAATAAATCATAAAGCCTCGTAAAATTCATTAATTTTGTATATATAATAATAATAATAATAATAATAATATAACTACTAGGCATGTGCAAATAAATCATAAAGTCTCGTAAAATTCATTAATTTTGTATATAATAATAATAATAATAATAATATAACTACTAGGCCTGTGCAAATAAATCATAAAGCCTCGTAAAATTCATTAATTTTGTATATAATAATAATAATAATAATAATAATAATAATAATAATAATATAACTACTAGGCATGTGCAAATAAATCAGAAAGCCTCGTAAAATTCATTAATTTTGTATATAATAATAATAATAATAATATAACTACTAGGCATGTGCAAATAAATCATAAAGTCTCGTAAAATTCATTAATTTTGTATATAATAATAATAATAATAATAGTAATAGTAATAATAATAATAATATAACTACTAGGCATGTGCAAATTAATCAGAAAGTCTCATAAAATTCGTTAATTTTGTGTATATAACTAGTAGGCATGTGGAAATAAATCGTAAAGCCTCGTAAAATTTGTTAAATTTGTGTATATAACTAGTAGGCATGTTCAAATAAATTCTAAAAAAAATCGTTAAATTGTAGTATATAACTACTAGGCATGTGCAAATAAATCGTAAAATTCGTTAATTTTGTGTATATAACTACTAGGCATGTTCAAATAAATTGGAAAGCTTTGTAAAATTCGTTAAAAATGTATATGACTACTAGGCATGTGGAAATAAATCGGAAAGCCTTGTAAAATTTGTTAATTTTGTGTATATAACTAGTAGGCATGTGCAAATAAATCTGAGAGTTTCATAAAATTCGTTAAATTGGTGTATTTAACTAGTAGGCATGTGCAAATAAATTGGAAAGCTTCGTAAAATTCGTTAAATTGGTGTATATAAATAGTAGGCATGTGCAAATAAATGAGAAAGCCTCATAAAATTCGTTAAATTGGTGTATATAAATAGTAGGCATGTGCAAATAAATCTGAAAGTTTCGTAAAATTCGTTAATTTTGTGTTTATAACTACTAGGCATGTGCAAATAAATCAGAAAGCCTCATAAAATTCGTTAAATTGGTGTATTTAACTAGTAGGAATGTGGAAATAAATCGGAAAGCCTCGTAAAATTCTTTAATTTTGTGTATATAACTACTGGGCCCGTGGAAATAAATCGGAAAGCCTCATAAAATTTGTTAAATTGGTGTATATAACTAGTAGGCATGTGGAAATAAATTAGAAAGCCTCGTAAAATTCATTAAATTGGTGTATATAACTAGTAGGCATGTGGAAATAAATTGGAAAGTTTCGTAAAATTCGTTAATTTTGTGTATATAACTAGTAGGCATGTGCAAATAAATTGGAAAGTTTCGTTAAATTGGTGTATATAACTACTAGGCATGTGCATATAAATTACAAAGCCTCATAAAATTTATTAAATTGGTGTATATAACTACTAGGCATGTGCAAATAAATTGGAAAGCCTCATAAAATTCATTGATTATGTTTATGTAACTAGTAGGTATGTGCAAATAAATTGGAAAGTCTCATAAAATTAATTACATTAATGTATATAACTAGTAGGCATGTGCAAGTAAATCGGAAACCTTCGTTAAATTGGTGTATATAACTAGTAGGCATGTGCAAATAAATTAGAAAGCCTCATAAAATTAGTTAAATTGGTGTATAAAACTAGTAGGCATATGCAAATAAATCGGAAACTTTCGTTAAATTTGTGTATATAACTAGTAGGCATGTGGAAATAAATTAGAAAGCCTTATAAAATTCATTAATTTTGTGTATATAACTACTAGGCATGTGCAAATAAATCGGAAAGTTTCGTAAAATTCGTTATTTTTGTTTATATAACTACTAGGCATGTGCAAATAAATATAATAACGAAATTTTCACTTCCAATACTTTAGAAACAATTGACAAACGCAATGTCAGCGCCCGCCCACCCACCCCTCCATCCCAGTTTTGTAATGTCTTTTGAATTATTTCCGTGACCAGTTCTGCTTCCCTTCATCCTTTTCCAGATCGACCAATTGCGAGCCGAGCTGTTGCAGGAGCGCTCCGCCCGCCAGGATTTGGAGTGCGATAAGATCTCGCTGGAAAGACAGGTCAGGCACCCGTGGTTAACAGTGGTTTGTGGTTTGGGGGGGGTTTATTTTGCCAACTCCACAATCCTAGGACCTGCTTAAACATTCCCAATCACCACAGAGTGTTGAATAATTTATTTATTATTTATTTATTTATGACATTTCTATTCCGCCCTTCCCAGAGCGGCTCACAAGATATATATACATACAATACATTATATTATTAGCCTAGTACAATATCAGTATTAAATATTACTATATTGTACTATGCCATTATACTGTAATATTATTAGTAATATTACATATAATATAAAATATATATAATTATAATATTTTATTATTACTATTATATCGTATTACATTATAATATTATAAATATTATATGTGTATACAATATATTATATTATTAGCATAGTGCAATATCAGTATTACATATTACTATATTGTACTATGCCATTATATTGTAATATTATTAGTAATATTCCATGTAATATAAAATATATAATTATAATATTGTATTATTATGATTACTATCATATTGTATTATATTATAATATTGTAAATATTATATGTATATACAATATATTATATTATAAGCATAGTACAATATCAGTATTACATATTACTATATTGTACTATACCATTATATTGTAATATTATTAGTAATATTACATGTAATATAAAATATATAATTATTATATTGTATTATTATTACTATTATATTGTATTACATTATAATATTATTTATAATTTTTATTTATAATATTTATATGGATATACAATATATTATATTATTAGCATAGTACAATATCAGTATTAAATATTACTGTATTGTACTATACCATTATATTGTAATATTATTAGTAATATTACATGTAATATAATATATATATATAATATTGTATTATTATTACTATTTCATAGTATTACATTTTAATATTATAAATATTATATGTGTATACGATATATTATATTATTAGCATAGTATAATATCAGTATTATATATTACTATATTGTACTATACCATTGTAATATTATTAGTAATATTACATGTAATATGAAATATACATAATATTGTATTATTATTATTACTATTATATTGTATTACATTATAATATTATAAATATTATATGTATATACAATATATTATATTATATTATTAGTATAGTAGAATATCAGTATTATGTATTACTGTATTGTACTATACCATTATATTGTAATATTATTAGTAATATTACATGTAATATAATATATATATAATATTGTATTATTATTATTACTATTGTATTGTATTACATTATAATATTGTAAATATTATATGTATATACAATATATTATATTATATTATTAGCATAGTAGAATATCAGTATTATGTATTACTGTATTGTACTATACCATTATATTGTAATATTATTAGTAATATTACATGTAATAAAAATATATAATAATAATAATATATTGTATTACATTATAATATTATAAATAAATCAAATGCCAAACCGAGGCAGATGAGCAAGTGGGTTTCCTGGCTTTAAAAAAGAAATATCATGAAAAAATTTGCCCCTGTCCTTGGGGAAAAGAACTCAAATTTGGAATGCGATCGGGATATTGATTTCTCAACGTAAATACCCGCTCTTTTTCCTCTCTGGAGCATCCAGGGCTTACTCAGCAGCCGTGATCGATGGCAGATGTTCTCCCTTTGAGCCTCTGTTTATGTTATGTTATGTATAAAGAACAAACAAGGATGCAAATCCTCAATAGGTTGCTGTGAGTTTTGTGCGCTGTATAGGCCCATTCCAGAAGCACTCTCTCCTGACGTTTCACCCATATTGTGAGGTCTGTTGGAAACTAGGCAAGTTAGGTTTATATATCTGTGGAATGATGTCCAGAGTGGGAGAAACAGAGCTCACAACCTCTGAGGATGCCTGCCATAGGTGTGGGTGAAACGTCAGGAGAGAATGCTTCTGGAACATAGACAAACACCCCAGAAAATTCACAGCAACCCAGTGATTTGAAGTATTGGAAAGGCAGGCTTGGTTTTTGTTAGCTCTTAACAGGGAGAGTACCATCCCAAAGTGCATGGTACCATGGCACAAGTGCATGCTCCAAGATGTCAGGGGTTACCGCAATACACAATATTTTGCCAACGCAGATCTCCATAAGGAGATCTAGACTTCACCCTGTAACTCTTGAGATGCTACAATTCCCAACAATCTTGTTATTCTGGCCATGAAAGCCTTCGACAACAAATCCTCAATAATCTGGAGGAGACTGTTTAGGATTTGCCTCTTGGTTAGTTCTTCGTATTCTGAACCCAGCGCAAGGAGAGACCCCCAACTCTGTTGTTTGCCGGATTCACCGTAGTCTCCTCAAATGAATCTGAGGGCTCCCTTGCTTTCTTTCTCTCACGTATCAAAGACCCGTTTCTGAGAACCTTTCCACACAACGACAAAGCTGTCAGACTGGTTTCGGTGCCAAGACTGAGTCACAGCCTAGCTGTTTCTTGCAGCTTGGTTTTGTGTTTCGTTTTCCTTGGTGAATGCCTTTATTTAGGCGCAATAAATAATAATAATAATAATAATAATAATAATAATAATAATAATAATAATGGAGAAATAAGAAATCCTCTCCTTGTCTGAGGACATTTCTCAGCCAAAATGACTTCTCTCACTGGACAGATGGTGGCAGGTTATAAATCAAGATTATTATTATTATTATTATTATTATTATTATTATTTGAAACACAACAAGATGAGTCCACAGCAGACACTGCTGGATCACATGTCGGACACTTCCCAAGTGTCTAGGACTGTGTGATGTATCGGAGAATATTGCGTGCAGATGCCAGTAAGGTGGCCTTCTGCAGCTGGCAGATGGTAATTTGTCAGTGCCGATTGTGTTTAAGTGCAGGCCAAGGTCTTTAGGCACTGCACCAAGTGTGCCCATCACCACTGGGACCATCTTTACTGGCTTGTGCCAGAATCTTTGCAGTTCTATCTTTAAATCCTCATAATGTGCCAGTTTTTCCAGTTGTTTCACTGCGATCCTGCTGTCACCTGGGATTGTGACATCAACGATCCATACTTTGTTTTTTAACACAATTGTGAGGTCAGGAGTATTATGCTCCAAAACTATTATTATTATTATTTTGTCAATCTCCATAGCTTCAGGTGGGTTCCCATGGGAGCCCTCCTTATCACTCAGCTCTTCACTCGATTCCTTATCTGCTGTTGCTACTTCTGGCTCCCCTGAATACCTTTGAGGCCCTGCACTTTCCAAGCCGGTTTTCTCACAGAGTGAACCATCATTTCTCAGACTTGAGAGCCCATCACTTTGTCGAGCTCTCTAAATAGTCAGTTAAGGCGTCCTCAAAAGTCCTTGGCCAGTGAAACGGGGAGCTTGACCGGCTTTTGTTCTCGTAGCTCTCCTTATCACTCAGCTCTTCACTCGATTCCTTATCTGCTGTTGCTACTTCTGGCTCCCCCGAATCCCCTTGAGGCCATGCACTTTCCAAGCCGGTTTTCTCACAGAGTGAACCATCATTTCTCAGACTTGAGAGCCCATCACTTTGTCAAGCTCTCTAAATAGTCAGCTAAGGCGTCCTCAAAAGTCCTTGGCCAGTGAAACGGGGAGCTTGACCGGCTTTTGTTCTCGCTGACCCTGTGTGTTGTCTCCGCAACCCTGGCTGTTTTGTGTTTGCTGACAAATTGGGACCTGGAAGGGCTCCCGAAAGGCTTCTCTGACCCTCGCTGGCTTGGACCAGTGTGCGAAATTGTGGCTGGATTGGCAACAGAGGCTTACACAACCACAACGCTTTGTGGAGGACCTTTCAGGGCTCTTGTACATCTTCATGGTGCTCACTATATCCTGCAATGTCATTGGAGATAGGGTCTCCTGAGTAGTGGGAGATATAGCTATTTGTGTAAATGGACACCTGTCCTTGGTTCGGGACGAGAATGAGAGCTACCATCACATTGTGAGAGCTTCTCAGAGAGATTCTCAGGCCCCCGAAGTAGAATTCTTGGCTCTGGAGCTACTCAGCTCATCTCTTGCTCCTGTTCTCACCTAAAACATGTCGGGACACGGCGAGCTGTTGACATCCTTTCGTGGGATTACGAACGGGTTTTTTAACTCCCTTGGCCGCGCTTCAATGCAAGAGGAAAAATAATTACGGTTATATAACTCGGTAAACGAAACGTCCTATTCAGAAGCTGGCCAGGGAGGGCTTTGTTCTACCTGATCAGCCATTACGTAAGCCGGTGTGGGCCTCTTCTGGGTTTGTTTTTGACCCCACATCGCTGACTCAGCCAAAGTCAGAGCCCTTTTTCAGTCCCTCGTTTCATCGGGACGAACAAAACAGCATTTTCCTCTCCGGCTTTCTAAAATCCTTGCAAAAATTGCAGCTTGTTAAGCTTCTAGTCTAGGATTTTCCACAGCAGGCCGCAAAACTTCCTCCAAGTTCCCATTTAATTACACGATTTGGGGAAAAGCTGAGGCCTTGTCACACTGAGGACTACCTCAGACCGACGCCTCTCTCACACTGAGGCAAACTAACACTGAGGCCGCAAAACTTCCTCCAAGTTCCCATTTAATTACACAATTTGGGGAAAAGCTGAGGCCTTCTCACACTGAGGACTACCTCAGACCGATGCCTCTCTCACACTGAGGCAAACTAACACTGAGGCCTTCTCATACTGAGACCTACTAACACACTGAGGCGAACACTGAGTCTTCCTCATACTGAGGCCTATTAACACACTGCTGTGAGTTTTCCGGGCTGCATGGCCATGTTTCAGAAGCATTCTCTCCTAATGTTTTGCCCACATCTCTCAGACTGACACCTCTCATACAATAAGGTGAACAAACACTGAGGCCGTCGCATACCGAGGCCTACTAACACACTGAGGTCCTTCTCCAAAAGAGACCTTTCACAGACTGAGGGCTACTAAGCTACAGGCACACCTTCTCATACTGAGGCCTAATAACACACTGAGCCCTTCTCCCACAGAGACCTTTCACAGACTGAGGGCTACTAAGCTACAGGCACGCCTTCTCATACTGAGGCCTACTAACACACTGAGGTCCTTCTCCCACAGAGACCTTTCACAGACTGAGGGGTACTAAGCTACAGGCACACCTTCTCATATTGAGGCCTACTAACACACTGAGGCCCTTCTCCCACAGAGACATTTCACAGACTCCAGGCTACTAAGCTACAGGCACACGTTCTCATACTGAGGCCTACTAACACACTGAAGCCCTTCTCCCACAGAGACCTTTCACAGACTGAGGGCTACGAAGCTACAGGTACGCCTTCTCATACTGAGGCCTACTAACACACTGAGGCCCTTCTCCCACAGAGACCTTTCACAGACGGTGGGCTACTAAGCTACAGGTACACCTTCTCATACTGAGGCCTACTAACTGTGTGAGGCCCTCCTCAGACTGAAGCCTTTCTCCCACTGAGGCCTTCTCACAGTGAGGGCTACCTCAGACTGACGCCTCTCTCACACTGAGGCAAACTAACACTGAGGCTTTCTCATACTCAATGCCTTCTTTGCCTCAGTCTTCTCACAAAAAGAAAGTCATACTTGCAATCATCTTGGAGAGTTCCTGCATTCTTTCCAGGTCACAAGCCATTCGTCAGCGGCTTCTTATTCTTCTCTTGTTGTGCCTTGCACTTTCTTTCCAGAACAAAGACCTCAAGAGCCGACTCACCAGCTTCGAAGGGTTCCAGAAACCGAGCGCCAACGTCTCGCAACTGGAGTCGCACATCCAGGAGTTGCAGGACAAGCTCCAGGCCGAAGAAAGGTAAGCAAGGCATGAAAATATATACATCCTGTTGGGCACGTGGGCTTATTAACAAAATACCTTCATCATACATGTACAGCAGAGTCACTTATTAGCAGCAGCGTGACCCAGCACCAGTAGCTCAACGTGATGAAGAGAACAAAAACACACAGACCAATATTATCTCTTCCATTGGAGGCTTTTCTTTATAGTAAAATAATATGGTTGCACTATTTACGAAAACACGGTTTCCATAACACAAAGTTAAATTTTCACACTAGAGCTTCACACACACTGAGGCCTACTAACACTGAGGCCTTTCTCCCACTGAGGCCTCTCTCACACTGAGGCGAACTAACACTGAGGCCTTCTCTTACACCGAACTTACACAGGAGCTTTACACACAGCAGCCTTCATACTGGAGCTTTACACACAAGATTTCTCTCAAACTGAGGAACTTCACACAGTGGTTTTTTACACACAGTAGCCTTCACACACTATAGCTTCACACACTAGCTTTGCACACAAGGCCTTCAAACTGGGGCTTCCTCTCACCAAAGCTTCTCACACTAGACCTTCTCAAACTGAGGCCTACTAACACTGAGGCCTTTGTACACTGAGGACTACCTCAGACTGACGCCTCTCTCACACTGAGGCGAACTAACACTTTTTTTTGTCGTGTCAGGAGCGACCTGAGAAACAGCAAGTCGCTTCTGGTGTGAGAGAATTGGCCGTCTGCAAGGACGTTGTCCAGGGGACGCCAGGATGATTTTTTGATGTTTTATCATCCTTGTGGGAGGCTTCTCTCATGTCCCCGCATGAGGAGCTGGAGCTGATAGAGGGAGCTCAGAGAGGTTTAACCCACTGCACCACCGGGGGCTCCATGAACTAACACTGAGGCCATCTCATACTGAGACCTACTAACACACTGAAGCAAACACTGAGGTTTTCTTATACTGAGGCCTATTAACACCCTGCTGTGAGCTTTCCAGGCTGCATGGCCATGTTTCAGAAGCATTCTCTCCTAATGTTTTGCCCACATCTATCAGACTGACATATCTCATACAGTAAGGTGAACTAACACTGAGGCTGTCTCATACTGAGGCCTACTAACACACTGAGGCCCTTCTCCCACAGAGACCTTTCACAGACTGAGGGCTACTAAGCTACAGGCACACCTTCTCATACTGAGGCCTACTAACACACTGAGGCCTACCTCACACTTGAAGCCTTTCTCCCATAGAGACCTTCTCACTGAGGGCTCTTTTAGACTGACATCTCTCATACACTGAGGCAAACTAACACTGAAGCTTTGTCATACTGAGCTCTACTAACACACTGAGGTCCTATGGCCTCAGAACTATGACTTCTAGACATTATACTCCTATTAATGCAGCCTAGAATCATATTTGGGTGTTTTTTTTTCTCGTTGCCACATCAGCTTGCTGATTCACGTAGCTTGTGGTCTACTAAGGCTCCTCGATCCCTTTCCCATGGACTGTTTTCAAGCCAGGTTTCCCTGGAAAGCAGATTTAAACTGGTAGAAAGCTTCCTAGGTTTAGCAAACGGCAATTGAGCAAGATAACTGGGTCCAAACATGCCCCGTAGCATAGTTTTGTCATGAAACGCATACACCCCCTTCTCTGTTTCCTTCAGAGAGAAAAGTGTCTTGGTCTCGTCGAATCGCAAACTGGAGCGGAAGGTGAAGGAGCTCACCATCCAAATCGATGATGAAAGGCAGCACGTCAATGACCAGAAAGACCAGGTAGGTGGTGAGGAAAGCTTGGTTCGTAACTTCCTCCTTTTTTATCGCCTTGGTCTCCGTACGGATGTCCCAATCCTCAAAAACTCTGTTTCGTTTGGAAGATTGCTGCACTCGCAGAGCTCAGGCGGTGTTATATTTCAGTATGACTTCTGTAGACAGTCCATGTTTTGTAGGCGATAGCAGAGTTGGGAGGACAGTAGCTTTACAAAGAAGCACCTTGGTCTCCCTATGGATGTCCCGGTCCTCAAACACTCTGTGCTTCATTCAAAAGAGTGCTGCACTCGCAGAGCTCAGGCAGTGTTACATTTCAGTGTGACTTCTGTAGACAGTCCACGTTTCGTAGGCGTATAGCTGGATTGGGAGGACAGTAACTTTATAAACAAGCACTTTGGTCTCCCTACGGATGTTGCAATCCTCAAACACTCTCTGCTCCATTCAGAAGAATGCTGCACTCGCAGAGCTCAGGCGGTGTTGTATTTCAGTGTGATTTCTGTAGACAGTCCACTTTTCGTAGGGTTGGGAGGACAGTAGCTTTATAAACAGGTGGTGTTGTATTTCAGTGTGACTTCTGTAGACAGTCCACATTTCGTAGAGTTGGGAGGACAATAGCTGTATAAACAGGTGATGTTATATTTCAGTGTGACCTCTGTAGACAGTCCACATTTTGTAGGGTTGGGAGGACAATAGCTTTATAAACAGGTGATGTTATATTTCAGTGTGACTTCTGTAGACAGTCCACATTTCGTAGGGTTGGGAGGACAGTAGCTTTATAAACAGGTGATGTTATATTTCAGTGTGACTTCTGTAGACAGTCCACATTTCGTAGGGTTGGGAGAATGGTAGCTTTATAAACAGGTGATGTTATATTTCAGTGTGACTTCTGTAGACAGTCCACATTTTGTAGGGTTGGGAGGACAGTAGSTTTATAAACAGGTGATGTTATATTTCAGTGTGACTTCTGTAGACCACATTTCGTAGGGTTGGGAGGACAGTAGCTTTACAAACAGGTGGTGTTGTATTTCAGTGTGACTTCTGTAGACAGTCCACGTTTCGTAGAGTTGGGAGGACAGTAGCTTTATAAACAGTTGGTGTTGTATTTCAGTGTGACTTCTGTAGACAGTCCATGTTTCGTAGAGTTGGGAGGACAGTAGCTTTATAAACAGGTGATGTTATATTTCAGTGTGACTTGTGTGGACAGTCCACATTTCGTAGGGTTGGGAGGACAGTAGCTTTATAAACAGGTGGTGTTGTATTTCWGTGTGACTTCTGTAGACAGTCCACGTTTCGTAGGGTTGGGAGGACAGTAGCTTTATAAACAGGTGGTGTTGTATTTCTGTGTGACTTCTGTAGACAGTCCACATTTCATAGGGTTGGGAGGACAGTAGCTTTATAAACAGGTGATGTTATATTTCAGTGTGACTTCTGTAGACAGTCCACATTTCGTAGGGTTGGGAGAATGGTAGCTTTATAAACAGGTGATGTTATATTTCAGTGTGACTTCTGTAGACAGTCCACATTTTGTAGGGTTGGGAGGACAGTAGGTTTATAAACAGGTGATGTTATATTTCAGTGTGACTTCTGTAGACCACATTTCGTAGGGTTGGGAGGACAGTAGCTTTACAAACAGGTGGTGTTGTATTTCAGTGTGACTTCTGTAGACAGTCCACGTTTCGTAGAGTTGGGAGGACAGTAGCTTTATAAACAGTTGGTGTTGTATTTCAGTGTGACTTCTGTAGACAGTCCATGTTTCGTAGAGTTGGGAGGACAGTAGCTTTATAAACAGGTGATGTTATATTTCAGTGTGACTTGTGTGGACAGTCCACATTTCGTAGGGTTGGGAGGACAGTAGCTTTATAAACAGGTGGTGTTGTATTTCAGTGTGACTTCTGTTGACAGTCCATGTTTCGTAGAGTTGGGAGGACAGTAGCTTTATAAACCATCCCCTTGGTCTCCCTATGGATGTTGCGATTCTCAAACACTCTTTGCTCCCTTCGGAAGAATGCTGTACTTGCAGAGCTTAGGTGGAGTTGTATTTCAGTGTCAATGTTGACTTTTGTGGCTGCCAAGGGAGCGGAAATGGTCCACATTTTCTAATGTTACTAATGTTTTCTAATGTTTCTAATTAGAAAATGTTTGGAGTTGCATTGACTACGGAAAGTGCAGCTTCGGAGGGCACCCCACCCTCTCTGTCCCACTGCGATCGGCGACGTGACTCTTCTGACTTGGGGGAAACCCTTGTAGGCTGCCTCCGAAGGGAGCAGAGGCCCAAACTCAGCTTCCTGTCCCTTCCTTCCCTTTGCGCAGCTGAGCCTGAGGGTCAAGGCCCTGAAGCGGCAGGTGGACGAGGCGGAGGAGGAGGTCGAGCGCTTGGAGGCCGCCCGGAAGAAGGCCCAAAGGGAGCTGGAAGAGCAGCACGAGTTCAACGAGCAGTTGCAGAGCCGCATCAAGGCACTGGAGAAGGACCTCTGGTAAGGCACTCCCCTCCGTCCTGCATTTTGTGTGTGTATATTTCAGTGTGACTTCTGTAGACAGTCCACGTTTCATAAGGTTGCATATATGTGTGTGTATATATTTGTGTATATGAGTATATATGTGTTTTTGTGTGTCTATATGGTTTTGCGCATACATTGTAATATAATTTTTGGTTTCTTTGGCTTTTTAAGTCCCTTCTGCTGTGTTTTTCAGTGTTTTTATGAGTGGTGGTCACTCGTTGGCCTGACAGATGTATTGTGTCCAAATTTGGTGTCCATTCGCCCAGTGGTTTTTGGGTTATGTTAATCCCACAAACTAACATTACATTTTTATTTATATAGATGTAATATAATATATTATATATACATATAATATTTATATTATAATGTAATACAATATAATACTACTAATATATTATAATTATATATTTGATATTACATGCAATGTTACTCATAATATTACAATGTAATGGTATAGTACAATACAGTAATATATAATATTGATATTGTACTAAGCTAATAATATAATATATTTATTTTGTTGCTGTGGCCCACATGGGGGTTCTGTGTGGGAGGTTTGGCCCCATTCTATCGTTGGTGGGGTTCAGAATGCTTTCTGATTGTAGGTGAACTATAAATCCCAGCAACGACAACTCCCAAATGTCAAGATTCTATTTCCCCCAAACTCCACCAGTGTTCACATTTGGGCATATTGAGTATTCGTGTAGAGTTTGGTCCAGATCCATCATTGTTTGAGTCTACAGTGATCTGTGGATGTAGGTGAACTACAACCCCAAAACCAAAGGACACTGCCCACCAAACCCTTCCAGTATTTTCTGTTGGTCATGGGAGAACTGTGTGCCAAGTTTGGTTCAATTCTATCATTGGTGGGGTTCAGAATGCTCTGTGATTGTAGGTGAACTATAAATCCCAGCAACTACAACTCCCAAATGACAAAATCAGTTTTTTTGAGTCAAGGACATACATTGGGTTGTTAGGTGTCTTGTGTCCAAATTTGGTGTCGATTCGTCCAGTGGATTTTGAGTTCTGTTAATCCCACAAATGAACATTACATTTTTATTTATATAGAAGATTAGTAATATTACATGTAATATAAATATATAATTATAATATATTATTATTATAATATAATAATTTTTAAAGTAATTTTAATTGAATTTTTAAGGGAAAATAAAAAAAGAACATTTAAAAAATTGTAGATAATTCTATAATATATATATAATATAATGGAATGTTATATATATATTATATTATATTATGTGTGTTAGTAGGCCTCAGTGTGAGAAGGTGTGCCTGTAGCTTAGTAGACCTCAGTCTATGAGAGGCCTCTGTGGGAGAAAGGCCTCAGTGTGTTAGTAGAGCTCAGTATGACAAAGCCTCAGTGTTAGTTTGCCTCAGTGTAAGAGAAGTGTCAGTCTGAGAGATGCGGGCAAAACATTACAAGAGAATGCTTCTGAAACATGGCCAAGCCCAGAAAACTCACAGCAGTGTGTTAATAGGCCTCAGTATGAGAAAGCCTCAGTGTTAGTTTTCCTCAGTGTGAGGTAGTCCTCAGTGTGCGAAGGCCTCAGTGGAAAAGGCCTCAGTGTTAGTAGGCCTCAGTTTGAGAAGGTCTAGTGTGAGAAGCTTTGGTGAGAGGAAGCCCCAGGGTGAAGGCCTTGTGTGGGAAGCTACTGTGTGAAGCTATAGTGTGTGAAGGCTACTGTGAGTAAAAAACCACTGTGTGAAGCTCCTCAGTCTGAGAGAGACCTTGTGTGTAAAGCTCCAGTATGAAGGCTGTTGTGTGTAAAGCTCCTGTGTAAGTTCGGTGTAAGAGAAGGCCTCAGTGTTAGTTCACCTCAGTGTGAGAGAGGTGTCAGTCTGAGGTAGCCCTCAGTGTAAGAGGGCCTCAGTGGGAGAAAGACCTCAGTGTGAGGTAGGTCTCAGTGTTAGTAGGCCTCAGTTTGAGAAGGTCTGGCGTAAGAAGCTTTGGTGAGAGGAAGCCCCAGGTTGAAGGCCTTGTGCGCAAAGCTACTGTGTGAAGCTATAGTGTGTGAAGGCTACTGTGTGTAAAAAAACCACTGTGTGAAGATCCTCAGTCTGAGAGAGACCTTGTGTGTAAAGCTCCAGTATGAAGGCTGCTGTGTGTAAAGCTCCAGTATGAAGGTTGCTATGTGTAAAGCTCCTGTGTAAGTTCGGTGTAAGAGAAGGCCTCAGTGTTAGTTCACCTCAGTGTGAGAGAGGCATCAGTCTGAGGTAGCCCTCAGTGCAAGAAGGCCTCAGTGGGTTATATATTATATTATATTGTATTGTATTGTATTGTATTATATTATATTATATTATATTATATTATATTATATTATATTATATTATATTATATTATATTATATTATATTATATTATATTATATTAGAGGGTTTCATGAGACTAGTTGCTCTCGTAACAATGGTGTAGTAACAGTGAGGCCGTGGACCGTATTTTTGTACTTGCGGACCACTGGTGGTCCACGGACTACGGGTTGGGAACCACTTCTTTAACCCATTCTCAAAACATTATTGTCATATAATCAACACATATGAAGCCTTATCCTCTCCACCTTCTCTCCCTTATGATCCAGGCGCAAAGCCGCCCGCTCCACGGCCGAGTCCTCCCTGAAGGACGACCACTTGAGCTCCGACGAGGAATTCGACAGCGCCTACGGCCCGTCCTCCATCGCGTCCCTCTTGACGGAGGCCAACCTCCAGACCAGCTCTTGCTAGCGGGCTCTGGACCCATGGGGCCACCTTTGGGCGGACATTTCGAAATCCTGAAAAAATGATACGTCGCTTGCGCAGGTTTCCGTCCGACGAGACAACGGAGGAGGACGCCGACCTCGACGTAGAGCAACTGTAGATAAAATAGATGCCTTGTCGACCAGAAAGGGGGGAGATGTTATTTTTGTGTTGTGGGAAAGGGGTTGGGAAGAGGCAGAGCGGAAAACGAGACTGAATAATATCTTGAAGAAGTTATTTTTGTGGGAAAGGGGTTGCGAAGAGTCCGAGCGGAAAACGGGACGGAATAATATCGAACGTTCCACATGGCGCCCCCTTGATCTGGTTCTCAGGGCATTGGTGAATGACTACGGAACAGCATCTTCTTGTTTTGATAACCAAATTCAAATTTCCTTCTCTGTATATATATCGGGGTGGGGTTTTCGGGGGGGAGGGTATTTTCTTTCGTGGTATGTGCCTCGAACGCATGTGGACCGAATTGGATGTGCAATAATGTAATCGGGGAGATCGGCGAATGTGTCTTGCGGGGACGGCCGGGCCCCTGTTTTCTCTGCATGTTGGCCTTGAGCGGAATGGGATCCCAGGGTTACTGAACCGTCGATTGTTGCATCTTGGTTTGTGCTTGAACGACCCTCGAGATTTCGGCAGAAGAGGATGCACCCCTCTTTCTTCCTCTGTTGCCGTGCCTGGTATTCCTTTCTGGGGTTCCCCGACTGCTCTTCCACACTGGAATGTTATAGCGCTACAATCCCGCTTCAGTTTCCAAGCTTCCGTCCTATGGGATTGAGAGACGGACACTTAGGATCCTCAGCCAGAGAGTTCTAGTGCTCCCGGGATTCGGCGGAAGGCTAAAGCGTAGATTCTTGGACATGCCATTCGCTCCCTAAGCAAAATTTCGGGAAGGAACGGACACTTTTCTTTCGATTCTTGAGTTTTCGGATCGTATTCGAGCAGCTGCTGGAGCGCCACCACCTTCTCGTTGGGTTCCGGGAGCACCTCAAACGCCGCTGACATTTGCTTTCTGCTTTACAGTCGCTGGTATTTTTATAGGTTGAGATGCCCTGTCTATTAGTAAGTGGCCTTCCCTTTCCTTCCAGCCTTTTTCTGTGTCTGGAACGAAGCTTGATACTGGACCCACTGAAGTAGCATTCTCCAACTCAGTCCTCAAACTATTGATCATTGATTACGCTGCATGGGAAGGGGGTGAGAGTTGTAGTATCTTAAGACTCCCAGAGTGAGGTCTAGATCTCCTTATGGACTGAAAAGGAGAGGAAAGATAGTATATCGCAGCATTAGCAAAATATTGTGGATTCCGGTAACTCCTGACATCGTGGCGCATGCACTTGTGCCATGGTACCATGCATTTTGGGATGGTACTTTACTTGTTAAGAGCTAACCCACCAGGCCTGCCTTTCCAACATTTAAAATCATTGGGTTGTTGTGAGTTTATAATAAATGTGTTGTCGAAGGCGTTCATGGCCAGTGAGCCAAACTAATAATAATAAATAAATAAATAAATAAATAAATAAATAAATAAATAAATAATAAACTTTATTTATACCCCGCCACCATCTCCCCGGCGGGGACTCGGAGTGGCTTACATGGGGCCAAGCCTGGACTAACACTGAGGCCTTCTCATACTGAGGCCTAATAACACAGTGAGATGAACGAACACTGAGGCTTTCTCATACTGAGGCCTATTAACACACTGCTGTGAGTTTTCCGGGCTGTATGACCATGTTCCAGAAGCATTCTCTCCTGATGTTTCACCTGTATCTATGGCAAGCATCCTCAGGGGTTGTGAAGTCTGTTGGAAACTAGGAAAATGGGGTTTATGTATTTGTGGAACCTACCTCCAACAGACAAGAGTTCTTTCTCTCACCCTGGACATCATTCCATAGATGTATAAACCCCATTTTCCTAGTTTCTGACCTCACAACCTCTGAGGATGCCTATCATAGATATAGGTGAAACGTCAGGAGATAATGCTTCTGGAACATGGCCATACAGCCCGGAAAACTCACAGCAGTGTGTTAACAGGCCTCAGTATGAGAAAGCCTCAGTGCCATACAACCCGGAAAACTCACAACAACCCCGTGATTATGGCCATGACAGCCTTTGACAATACTCAAAATCATGTCCTGTCCTGGACTGAAGAGGAGAGGAAAAATGGTATATCGCTGCGTTGGCAAAATATTGTGGATTGCGGTAACCCCTGACATCGTGGCGCATGCACTTGTGCTATGGTACCATGCATTCTGGCAGCCAAGGGAGGCTCAGGGCAAGATTGTGGCGATGGCCTTGCAAACCAGGGTATATATTTTCCCCAAGCCTTGGTATGGTCCTTCTAAGCAACGGGTCGATCCCCATCATCAGACCGACCCTCTCCGTACGCTCCCGTGGATGGTAAAGACACGAATGCCAACGGGTCATTCTCCGTCAAGTTGTCCGTCTTCCTCTGCCTCCCTGCATATTGTATCTCTAGCAAGAATGGCGCGAAACATAATCCGAGCGTCGGCACCTCCTTTGCAAATCCCCGTTTCCGACAGCTCTGGGTATCTCGCTGCGTTCACTCTGCGGAATATCGCTACCGAATCTCCGTAAGGGCTGCTTCTCCCCCGTTTTCCTTGACGGTACGGACTTCAGGGATCCCTCTCTCACCTCTCCAGGCCTTGCACCAAGTGCCTTATTGCGGACCTGTCCCTGAAGGTGTCCTTTTCTGGCGGAGAGACGTGTGTTTCGTATCGCACCATCAGCGAAGTGGACAGTGGCGTTTTGCACAAGCGTGTGCCTTTGCACCAAAGGGGAAGGTCGTTGTTTCGCTGATGTCTGGCTTTTTCCGTGCTATGGACTTTCCCTCTCAGAAGGCGGCCTTAAGCAGGGATGGTCTCCTTGGGACAAAATAATGCTTGGTTTTATGAAGCAAAAGGGAGTAGCCTCCTATTTCTAGGTCACCTTGAAGGGCACAGAATTTGGTGACCATCCTGCAGAGTTGAACTTTGAGGAGAACTTCCTTCAAACAATGAGGTGGAACGATATCTGCCCAACCATTTGCTTTTGGCTACATGGCCAACGAGTTGGGCTTCATGGAGGACACTACAGGGATAGCTGTAGAATGGATGGTGTTGTGGATAAAAGCCATCTTCTGCCCATCCTCTGAAGAGCTTTAGGGCCACCACATCTCCAGGTCTATCTGTCCAAACATATCATGTCTCTAGCTTCCACTTTTGATGTTTCCAGGATGGTGATCAAACTTTATAGAACTCAGTCAAGAGAGGACAATTCAGCTTACGTTTCAATGCTTTAGTAGCAACCAGAGACCCACGGCTGGTCCATCATGAACCATCAAGGTCACCTTGAAGGGCACGGAGTTTGGTGACAATCCTGCAAAGTTGAACTTTGAGGAGAACTTCCTTAAAGCATTGAGGTGGAACGACATTTGCCCAACCGTTTGCTTTTGGCTACATGACCAACGAGTTGGGCTTCATGAAGGACACTACAGGGATAGCTATAGAATGGATGGCATTGTGGATGGAAAAGCCATCTTCTGCCCATCCTCTGAGGAGCTTTGAGGCCACCATATCTCCTGGTCTATCCATCCAAACATATCATGTCTCTGGCCTCCACTTAGCAGCTTCCATTTTTCCAGGATGGTGATCAAGCTTTATAGAACTCTATATGGCGCTATCTTTTCCACCTTCAAAGGGTCTCCTTTTGTCACCAGCCCAGTCAAGGGAGGACAATCCAGCTTGCATTTTGATGCTTTGGTAGCAACCAGAGACCCACGGCTGGTCCGTCATGAACCATCGAGGTCACCTTGAAGGGCACGAAGTTTGGTGACAATCCTGCAAAGTTCAACTTTGAGGAGAACTTCCTTCAAGCAGTGAGATGGAACGACATCTGCCCAACCGTTTGCTTTTGGCTACCTGACCATTGAGTCTGGCTTCATGGAGGACACTACGGGGATAGCTATAGAATGGATGGCGTTGTGGATGGAAAAGCCATCTGCTGCCCATCCTCTGAAGAGCTTTGAGGCCACCATATCTCCAGGTCTAGCCATCCAAACATATCATGTCTTTGGCCTCCACTTAGCAGTTTCCATTTTTCCAGGATGGTGATCAAACTTTATAGAACTCTATATGGTGCCATCTTTTCCACCTTCAAGGAGGTCCCCTCTTGTCACCAGCCCAGTCAAGGGAGGACAATTCAGCTTGCGTTTTGATGCTTTGGTAGCAACCAAAGACCCACGGCTGGTCCGTCATGGACCATCAAGAGTCCTATAGATGTTTCGAACGTCGGAAGTGGAACAACTGCCATCTTACTTGTGGTTATAGGCGACTTTGTCTTCCACCCGTCAGGGCACCTTCATGTGGTTCTTATTGTCCAGGGTTGGATGGATCAGCCTTCTTCACTCCGTCCGCAGCAAGGCATCACCGAAGTCCTCCACTGACACCCAGTTAAGTCCCACAAATTTGGAGGACCAACTGTAATCCAGAATGATCATGTTGGATTTGGGGCGTACTAACCTCTGGGTCGTATTGTTGAAGAGCATTTATGACAAACGTCTACACAAGACGAGCTGTTACCCTTCAATGCTCGTCTCTTAAAGGAGCGTTTTCGGAGAATGTGATGCGGAGGATGCAGAATCCGAGGCGGCTCTTTCTGAACACCAAATGCGGAGATCTCCGGAGCTGTCCTTCGTTTTCATTTTTGTTTCTTTCTTAGAGCAATGCAATAATTAACACACACAAAAAGTATGGAGTAAACCCGATCAATGTGGAATGTTTCCTCCTGGTTGTATGCACATATCTTGATCGGACTTGTACAGTTTTGGAAGAAAAAAAATGGCTGCTAATAATCCAATCCGGGTTGGTTTTTATGATTTGTACCTTTTGATTTCCCTCCACAGATTTTATTTTTTTTCCTTTTACTAAGACGACAATGAGACTTGTACATTGATTTTTTTTTGAAATAAAGACATTCTATATTAACCAGGCTTCTTCTCATCTTGGATACCATCTTGTGCTAATTAAAGTATGTTGATTTACTCTTTGTTTTGTCCAGGAAAGATATTCAAGGCCAGAATCCCAAAATTTGACAAAATGCAGCTTGTATCATGATTCCAATATGGACTCCTTTCTCTTCCTTTGAGGAAAGGAGCCCAAGTGTCCAGACTGCGTTCTGTTGCAGATCTGGCACTCTCCAACGTACATACACCATCTCTCCGTAGTGTTGCAGATCAATCTCAGATCAATATATTTACCAGGTTTCAGTGAGTACCCGTTGGAGAAGGAAGAAGATTGAGAAACAGCTTGGCAGGGTTCCAGTCGTTTATTCTTACTCCGGAGTAAGGGCGCTCAGCTTTACCAAAGGGCTGATGCACCCTGAATGTCACATTTAGTCCAGTTTTTATAGTACGGAATTGCTAGTTTTGCACATGCGTATAACAACTCTGCCACGTATACAATACAATCATTAACAGAACTTTTATATAAGAACACAATTCTGGCAAGATCATTATGACCCCAAAACATTTGTTTACTTATATAACCATTAACTTTTATCCCTTATCCCCAGATGACATGTTTAATTGTTCTTAATTTCCTTAGATCTCTTAAATGGATCATAACTTTATATATGTTTTTAACATAAAAGTTGATCAAGGCAATCTCCTTATCAATTCTGCCATAACTACTTTGTTAATAACTTTAGTTCTCCGGGAATTTACTATCAAACAGAACGTTTCTGAAATTACCTGCTATTTACATCAAATAGTCAGGAGATGGCGCTCTCTCACTATATGACCTTAGATGTTCCAGTCTCTGATCAATATTATTGATTTACTTTGTGTTGCCAGGTTTCTGGTGGTCAACAATCGTCTTTGAGTAAATATTCGGCTTGTGTAAACATGTCTTTTTGAACAGTTATCTTGACCTCTTTATTGATTTATACCATCTGTTAATTCTTTCCCTTACTCTGCAAAATCCCCTCTGAACCGTCTGAATCTAGGTAAGACCATCTGTTCATTTTAAATTATAATTATTATTTTATTTTTCCCCTAACGACTGCCACAGTAGAGCATGGCGGGTGAACAGTTCTGCTGTTGGTCACACTTTTTGGATTGTAACAAGGTCTCTTATATAGCAATTTTCTGCCGATGTTGTCCCAAAGTTGTAAATGAATGATAGATTTCCCCCCCATATCCTGACTCCATCTCGGTTTCCGGACAGATGTTGACTTTGTGTAATTGGTGTTGATAATGCAAGCATTATATATATATTTTTATCCTGAAACATTTTGACTCCATCTCGGTTTCCCGACAGATGTTGACTCTACATAATTGGTGTTGATAATGCAAACAACCTTGTGTTGATGTCCTTCTTAACATTGTAAAAATTTCGTTAACTTAAAAGGCCAAAAATACTCCAAATTCAGAAGTAACGTGAGGAAGTTAGAATCTCGGATCTGCCTTTTGTCTCTTATTATTTCAGTTTTAGCT